GGGCACGGAAGGCTTGCTGTTAGGCGTTAGTGCAATGGAGACATGGGATCATCTTCGTAAATTCCAAGACGAGAAATAAGAGCATGGGAAATGGCGCGTTTTCTGCGAGTATCATGGCAGCCTGTGGGGTAAAAAAGAGCTGGGGGCGGCTGGGGTAGCTGACGTATTACCGGTTAAATTGCACATGACTTGTGGGCTGTTTGGAAACCCAAGCATTCCTCAGAGAATGCTGGTACAATGGAAGAGAACTGGAAGTTTTTGTAGAGCTAATTCATCATATTTACAATAGCGAGCAGACTGAAAATCCAAGAGGCGGAAATTGGATTCCACGGATAGGAGTAGGTATCTACGTACTGATGTACGAAGTAGTGGCAAAGCACGGGCCATCTCTGCCGGCGATGCTCTCGAGACATCTATTTCCGCCCGCTTTCTTTCCCAGCTAATCCGACTACATCGTCAAGCAATGATGTCAGCATCCCAAAGAAAATTTCGTCAAGCAAAGTTGTAGATTCCAGCAGTCTACTCGTTATCCTTGACGTCGATAATAGTCGACTTGAATTTCCTGGCAGGAACTCTGCGGCTGAACAGAATGTCGAGCTCGCGGTAAGAGCGGTCCTTGAACTCGGGAAGACCAAAGTAAGCTGAGATGAAGCAAACGCAAGCCGTGCCTCCCCAGACATATCCGCACTTGCCGGCCATGTTCCAACCAGTTGGGTTGAGCATTCGTGAAGCCAGGTAGATCATGGGAATCTCAGCAACGTAGTATGCCGCACGACCGATACCAGTGCTCAGGGCACGAAGGCGGACCGAGGAAGCCTCCGCAATGATGGAGTACGTGATGGGTCCCATGGCCAAAGCGTATACGAACGAGATGATGACACCTAGGCAAGCCTGTGCGTAGTTTGTCGCACTGGTCTGGTGAAGCGACCCGAAGATGCCTAGAAGAAATAGCATAAAGACATTCGTGGCTGTGCCCACAAGATAGATTGTACGACGACCAAAGTATGCGCTCAGAGGCCAGGAAAGCATATTAGCAACCAGCTGCAGGGACGAATTGATCATATTGAGCTTGAAAGAAAAGTTGGTCGACATTCCAGCCTCTACACAGAGTCAGTCATCTATGTTCCAAACTCACTGGGGAGGTACTTACGCTCAAAGAAGAATGTGGCTTGGTTGGCAATCAAGTTACCGGCGAAGTTTTGCGACGCATAGATCAAGCAGGTAATCAGCGTTCGGCGAAGATCCACTCCCTTGAAGAGATCGAGGAATTTGGCATTGCCACCCGCATGAGCTTCAATCTCAGCAGTACGTTCCATCATGGCCAGTGTATGCTCGGCGGCCGCTTGAGTGCCGTTCTTGCGGCCGAGGCGCTTAATGGATACAAGGGCTTCCTCCCTACGCCCTTTGCGTACTAGCCACCAAGGACTCTCAGGAGCGAAAAAGATGAGCACCATGAGAGGTAGCTAAATTTGTCAGTTGTTGACATTTCTGAGCGTGGAAAGGATGCTTACAGGAAACATCCATTGTAGGGCAAGAGGTGCTCGCCACGCCCATTCATCATTTCGATTGTTGAACGAGTATGTGACACCAGCGACAAGAAGACCACCGATGGACCAAGAAAGCTGCAGAGTTGCTGTGCAGGCACCACGGAGGACCAATGGTACAACCTCACTAGCATAAGCAGGCGAGTTTCCAATGAACATTCCCCATGGAACTCCTTCTAATGCTTGCCCGACGACAAGCAAGGAGAGTGAGTCGGCCTGGATCAATGCTATCAGCCAAGAGTCTCGCCATACTTCTCGGAAATATACCACTTACGAAGAAAGAGACAAAGATGGTAGCATTCATAAGAACGAGAGCCAAGAGATTCGTCCAGCGGTAACCAAGACGATCGGTAATTGGACCAACAACAAAAACGCCAACAAAGGCGCCACATTGGCCAGCCTGGAAGAGCGAACTCTGCCATTTTGTAGGAATGGCCTTGGTAGCCTGTCCCGGAACCTCGACTCCGTATCGTTCCTTGAAAGCGGTAAGAGCGACAAAGTTACCGTTCAAGAACATGTCGAAGGACTCCATGACCTGTTCCATGTTAGTTATCAGTCTGAATGCAAATTCCCTCATGAATTCGCAGCATTCCAGTATTGGCAACCCTGGACTTACAATCGTAAAACAAAAGATAAAAGCCCAAAAACAGGCCGCAGGATGATCTTTGGCAGCCTCCCACAGCCCCATCTCATGTTCGCGCAACTCAGCATTCTGCGCATCAGTCATGAGCTCCTTGTTCTCAAGGATCTCGGCATGGTGGCCGCCGATGCTCTTCTCCCGCATCGCTTCGTCTATCCCAGACTTCTCATCGTACTTGGAATCGGCGAGGCCCGACATCTTGCAGGTGCGTAGCGTGGTCACTACTACGTATTACTTGCGACGCCACGAAAAGGCAAAGAGCGAATAAGCAACAAGGCAAGCCGGAAGCCAAGCAGACGAAGGCGGACACTTGGAGAGCTTATATACGAGTAAGTATGCCTGTGGGTCTCGGCATAGCAGGTTCAGACGACCACATGTTGGGCCCCCCCCCCATGGGGCTCCGCACAAGCCTTTGGAGGGGGTGCTTGTCGTGCTTGTCGATACCGTTGGGGCCCTTATTGGGTGGGTCACCCCGGGGTGCGATATTACTGGTTCCCTGTCGTGCTCTGCGGCCTGTCTAGCTCAAAGTCAAAATGTTCTTCGACGTTCTATTGATGCGAAAATTGAACGCTCGGACACTTGAAAGTATTCTTCTACTACTTGAGTCGGTAGTATGACCCATGGACGCAGCTTCGGGGCCACGCGCTCGTGGCGGCAGTACTCCTCGATGAAGCTTAGCGAAGCTCCATGCCAGGTTGTGGTGACTATCGGGCCCTATATACGGGCAGGATGCTCGTGCTGATTGTCAACTAATCACAACGAGATTGTTTGGGCTACCTTTCTGAAATCTGACTGTGAAGTTGCCGGTGCATGCACTCGACTATCGAACACCGGGCAACACATCGAAGCAGACCTCCACACCTCCACCCAAACGTTAAGAGCCATGCAAGATTGGCTTCTAGGAGAATTGCCACTATCCAAGATTCATGCGGAATCTCTCCCCAAACTACTACCGCGATGGCGTCACTGGCGTATGGAGCCATCTGTCACCCGTCAACCAGTCTTGTCAAAAACGCCGAATATTGCCTCGTATGACCTTTGAACCCCATGATCGGAAACTAACCAGACGGGACTACCGCCATCTCGGCAAGCGTCGGCGGTTCGGAGAAAATAGCCTAGTACGGAAGTGCCCCAAAAACTAGTACTTGTCAACGTGTAGGGCGTTTTGTTTTCGTCTGGGGTCGAGACTGGTTCTGCAGGTGTGAGCTAGAGACAGCATTGTTTGGTCCGGCAAGGGTGTGGCGGGGAAAAAACCAATATGTTGAGGAGATGCGGGATGGGTTTGCTTCAAGGTTCACAGAGTGATCATCCATGGACTTGGGTTTTGATGCTACGTAAGGCTTACTACAAGTGGAAGTGGCAGACTCCACTTCACGGCACCTCTTCGGTCAGATTGCACGGTGGTGCCATCCATCCGGCTTTTGTGGCATCCCAGGGTAACATTGTTTTGAGAGGATGCTATTCAGTGATAATGAGGCTTGCGCCAGATGACTGGGTTATCAGTGTGGCAATTGTTTCATCGTCTCTGAGAACATGAGTTGACATCGTGACCTACTACTTCCTTGGTTGGTAGGGCGTCAAGAGCATGCCTGATTGTGAATCGCGAATATCTCGTGTGACATAACACCTTGAAATTACTACGGTTATTTACCGATGCTTGTCCAAATCAAAGACGGCGAGCTGATTCATGGGCGCGAAACTGCGGTTGAAAGTAGCAAGATACCCGCAGTATTTCAACAACGGGAGGTCCTGCGAAAAGCCGCATACGCCAAATCGCATATGCACCATAGCTGTATGGTGGATTTGGAGAGCGGGCAAGCTAACTGAAACTCTGCGTCGGATGACGGATACAACTACTATCCGTTCCCAAACCGTTCTACTCGCTTGGTTGTTTAGCGAGACGGCATCTATTTAATTGCAGAGTAAATGCACCTATCTACTCTACGTATGAGCTTAGTCCCCTAGTTTTCCAAGCTCGGGTCACATCTCTGTAATATTGTAAACTGGATTTGTTTACGCAAGGCCAGATTTCAATTGAGCGATACAAGAAACAACATGATTGGATCAGTACTGAAGACCCTGCTAGAAATGAGTATCCAAAATATGGTTTTCGAGATGATGTTGTAATGAGTAGTACCATGGGACGCGCGCTTTCAACACCCCGTTTTTTTGTTTGTAGAGGCAAGTTCAACGTTATCGCTAGAAGTGTAAGAAAATTGGTATCCATTTTATAGGATTGAGGTGTATGACAAAGATGAAGCACTTTGAACTCAACAAGTGACTGAATTTGGGTTTCGTTGACTTTGTCGGGTCTGTGACATGCACTGAGCGTGTACAAATGAGTTGATGTCTTAGGGGTGTGGACAAGCCTGAGAGTTAAAAGAGCAGAAGGTCGTGAGTAAGACTGTTACTACGTTAGCAAATCCATCAGAACAGCTCAAAGAAATTTATAGTCGCGTTGTGTTCTTACATTCTCTTTTTACTTTCCATCTGCTCGGACCCTTGATACCCAGGTTTCGCATGTAGCAACCGCTTCTTCTTTTCTTCTAAGAGTCCAAATTGCCCTTCGCTTTGCTGAACAATAGGCTTAAAGGTGGAGTGATAATGGAAGAAAAGTGAGAATTCAGAAAGAAATTCGAGTCTAAGGGTCTTAGTGCTCTGAGTCCCTCACTAGACCGGCTCCATGTTTAGGTCTGGAAATGGTTTCGGTAATCATTACAACACGACCAGATACTCCGCACGTGTATGGCGGACGAACTGCCATGGCCGTTAGTTCCGTAACCGCACATTATTTATCTTATACACTTGCCCCTCCCATGTTTCTCTGCATTCCCATTTTTCAAATCGCCTTCTTACCGAAGAAAATCTTCGTTGACTTCGCAAAACGTTCAGTATCTCTGTCACGTCTCTCAAGAAGGATGAAGAAAAACATCATCATTTTCCTATCCCTCGCCATCCAAGCAGACGCAAAATGCACAACCATCCCCACATGCGGGGACCCCAGTGATCCCATTTGCATACCCGGCAAAGCCAACAAATGCAATTGGTTCTGGGATATACACAAGCTGAGGGATGAATGTGGGCAGGATGATCTAAAGTGTTTCGATGGTGAATGCGTCAGTTGACCTGTGATGCCAGCCTCTCTTGTAAAATATTCTAACAAGCTTTCCAGCATGGTGTCAAGCCAAAGTATAACCAAGAACAGTCCGCCACCTTTTGTTATGTCATGTGCTGCCAGAATGAGTCGGATATTGAGGATTTTTGAAGGGGCAAAGAGCGAGTTTGCGATTACGGTTGAGGGGTTAGTGGCGAGTCGTTTGTGGATTGGAAATGTCAAGAATCTGTTACTGTTTTTTTGAGCGTCCAGCTTATGGAGAATACACAAGATGTAGGATTAGAGTTTTCCTGTCGCCTATCGCAGGGTAGATTACATGCAAGAGAGATTTCAATGGATTTGCATTGATACGCAATTCTGATTTCAAAGCAGCCAGGGCTTCTAAAGTGCTTAGCAATGATACAAAAGGTTAGTGACTGTAATATGGAATATGCATGTGTATAGCTCAGTCGTTAAATGTCTGCCATGTCTGAATAGATAGGTATCAACGCCCCATTTGTTCACGGTTAACGATGGCTCATCGAATTAGGAGAGTGTCTTTTTATTGTTTATTTACTTCGAATTAGACGTTGAATCAGATGGCGATGGCACACGTATCATATATGGGACGATTGACAACTGCGATAAATGGTGTATTTTCCATAGAAACGAAGGAAATTCTGGTGAGTTGGAAAATCTTACTACGAAGCGCCATCCTTTGTGAAGCAATTGCAGGATTCTATGTAGCATTATTATTGATCATAAGAAAGCGTACGACGAAGGAAGCTTGAGTGTAGACGCTCTCCCCATGAGGAAGATGAAACGATGGCCGGGTACTGTTATCCTATCGTTGCCATGTCGTCTTTCTGCTGGAGGGGTGCATGCGCATGTACATGTGTATTTAGCCAGTGCGATTAGCAGGCTCGCTTGTGGGAAGGATAGCCAAGATCCATGCCAACACATGTATGTCGAATCAGATAAAGATACTAGTTGGTTCTGAAAGTGGCCTCGCTTGATCCGACGCCGCAAGCTGTCGCAGTCAAGCGTTTAGGAATTAGTAACCACCCAATGACCACTTGGCTGATAAGCCTATAGCCAACGTTGCATGCAGACGCAGGCATACGCAGCCTCCTATTCTCCGGTATAGTGCTTATGTGTGCTGGATATATTTCGGTGACTTGGCTGGAGCATAAGTTTGTGCAACATGTATGGCGTATTGCGGTAATCAGGACAACAAATGAATCCGAGTACCATGGGCATGGTCATTGCTAGATGGCCTCGTCACCAGTGTTTGCAGATTTTGCTTTGGAATGCTGGAAACCAACAAGGGACCGGCTACAAAGACTCCTAGCAGGCAAACAGGGCGGGGCAGCGTATCGTCTATGCGAAGCCGCGTAAGCGAGAGAATAATACGGAGGATACAATCGAGTCTGCCTCGTGTGGATGGCTGTTGATGGGGTTGCGCCAAGGGGGCTTGGACGGGGCGCCGGTGTTCCTGCTCGGCTATGCCATGGGCCGTGGTGAAACGCAGTGCGACTGTGGATTGCGTCGATGCATCACAGGCAGAATTTCAGGAGGCGTGGGAGGCGAGTGTGCGTGTGGATAGAGGCTCTCAAGCGAATGCGATGGGGGTAGTAGGGATGCAAGGGGAGGCGATAGACATGTCCAACCAAAAGACAAGAACGATTAGCAGGAAGAGTTCGCCTCAGGCGGGCATGGATGCTATTCATAGCCGTGCGGTGTGGGCACGTGTTCGTCATTGGCAACTGGTTCCCGATGCAAGTGCAGGGGTGCGTCCGTACAGCCTCACCCAAGACGCGTATGAGACCCAAAGAGCCATAACCTCGTCGACGCCGCCGCTGTCGAATCCTCACTGCTGGTTCTTCGCTCCCGCAACCTTGTGTTTAAACAACCAGTCATTGCCAGACCTTGCTGCTGCAGCGGCATGACGCCATGTTAGACGAGAATCTCCCCAGTATGTCGTCTCGCCAATCGCCATCTCATCTCATCATGCATCCTCTAACCCTGTCCAGCCTTTTTTCTCAAGCCCTCGACGGAAAAGATCAAACACCACGAATCCTTTTACTTCACCCAGAACGGTTCCGAGGCAGAGGCCCAGTATGCCCTCCGCCACGTCGACCCCGCCACCCCAGATGCCAGAAACACCTATGCGGTAGCCTTGTTTGACTCGCGGAACCCCGACATTCTCTACGGCGAGGTCCTATCTAAGCCGGGATGGTCACATCCCACCCTCTCCCAAGAAGAGATTCGCAAAAATGGCGGAGTCCCGCCCCCACCTATGCCCATCTTCCCTACCGAGTTTGCCATCCAGCTGTACAACCCCGATATGCGCGTTGTAGTTAGCCAATCGACAGCCAAATGGAGCAGCACTGTCAGCTGGGAGTTCAGCCTGCCCCAAGTTGCCTTCAGGACACCGAGCAACTCAGATCTCGACCGCACCATGAACGATCCTAGTGCCGATATTAACACACCCAGGATCAAATTTGCATGGAGGAAAGAGGGCAGGCTGGGCAAGGACATGACATGCTACATGGTTGGAAAATCAACAGACCCCACAGGCAAGAAGGCCAAGAAGAGCAAAGAGGGCGATATTGCCGTAGCCATGTTCTCCGGTCTGAAAGAGTTGACTGTCATGGAGCCTAACCTCTACCGCGTCGAGCTCGAAGATTACAAAGGCTTGGAAGTCACATTGCTTCTTGGTGCAGCTGTCATTCGCGACTTGTTCTTTAGCGATCTGAACGAACAGTTTCACATCAACCGTATTGGCGCCCGCAAGAACAGCGGAGGACTCCGAGCCAGAAAAGGCTCCTCTCCCCTGGAGGCGCCAAACGTCACAAAACCAGTCATGACGCCAGAACCCCCACCACCCCCAGCTTACACGCCTTCTTCGTCACAATGCCCACCCGAGAAGGCACCACTACCGGATGCTGGATCCTCACGTCCCAATCACCAACCGCCACCACCCTCATATACAAGCAACAATGCTGCAAAGCGTGCCTCGCTTCCACCTCTTGTTACAAGCCAGAATGGTCCGAGCCAACGCCCCCAACTACAGCGACCCGCACAACCCCCGCGGCCTGCACAGCCACAACAGCCACCACGACCCACACATTCCTTGCGACCCACACAGCAACGCCAACCAGGCCCAAGACTGGATCCGCGGTCGCAATGGGAAATCGAAGCAGAAACCGCTCGCCTGAGAGCCCAGGTAGAAGCTGAAGAGCGTGAGCAGAAACGGAAAGCTGAGGCGGACCGCAGAGCGCGTCAGAAACGAGAAGAGGAGCAAGAGCGCAAGACTCTGCAATTCCTCGAACAAGAACGAAAACAGAAGGAACGAGAAGAGAAGGAGCGACAGAGGAAGAGGGCAGAGGTGGATAAGGAGACGGAGCGCCTCAAGAAGCAGTTTGGGGACCAGTCAAACTTGTTCCGTCCATCCCCACAACCTCAACGACACTCGGCCCCATTTGTACCAAACGTAGCGCACCAACGACCCAATCCGGCAGCACCTCGACCAGTTCCCGGACCGGTGCAGCCTCCGCGTGTGCAAGTGCAACTGCCTCATGTACAAGTGCATCCACCCAGCCAGCAGCGGCCGGCGGCAAACCAAACAAGCTTCCTCAGCAATGGTCTGCCCAAACCCATTGCCAAAGCCAAGAAGAGCTTCTGGGGTCTTAGGACCCAGAGTGAGTCGAGCGCAGAGAAGCTAAAGAAGAAGAAAAGCAGCATGTTCTGATTCAAAAGTGTTAGTCATGAGTATTGTATAGGGCTTGTTTTTGCCTCCGCTAGATGGGTTGGTGTTGATGGCCTGTATGATGTTTATACCCACCTTGGAGTTTTTCTTCGTTTGTTGGTAAGGTCTCTACGGGAATGGGCGCATGGGATTGTTTGGCGTACTTGTTTTTGGATTTTTTTTCCATTACGTATACTATGGTAGGGCTGTTTACCTTGGACAACATACTTTGATATAACCAAATACCCTCTACGAACTACCTCCAGACCAAGGTTCACACCACTAGATAGCACGAACTGTAAGCAAAGTGATACCGTGAATGGATGGTAGGTCAGCTATGCAGAAGCGACCACGCTAGCACTAGGTACCCGTTCTTACCATATTTTGGTGTAGCGTACCCGGTTCCAGCTCCTCGGCTCAAACGTAGTATCAATCGACACTTCTATCGTCCAATGCGTCCCCACTCAATCTCACGCGGATGCTGAATGTGAAATTTGAAATTGAACCTGTCTACATGCTCTCCGCACCACCTTTTGCCATCTGCCCCGCACGTCCTTTGCTCGGTCTGTGGCTTGTTTAGGCTAGGTTATGCCAAGACTAAAACTTGCTCATTGAGCACATTATCCTGGGGCCTGTCTGCAAGCTCGCAGCTATAGCTCGCGCCACAGCATTCTCAGGGCCAGGACAAGTGGTTCGCTACACCGTAGTCCAGATTCCTGAATGTCAATGTCGAATGTAATTGGTTCAATCCACGCATGTTTCTTGTTGCCCCACGTTGTGAGTGTGAAAGGTCGACTGGAAACAAACACCGCGACTACTTGGCAGCGGGAAGATGGGAGCAAGCTCCGCTAGTATTGGGGGAAGAATGGCAAATTGGGCTGAGGAAATGGGGATTGGAGCTTCATGTATAAAGGCCATGGCAGCTGCACGTCAGCTTTCGGTACGCCTGGTGGATATATCAACCTCTGCCTCTCTCCCTCTCCCCCTGGATCCCTTATTTCAATAATACATCACCCTGGTACATTCAATCAAGATGCTTTCAAAAACCATCTTCGTCGCCGCCGCAATGGTAGCAGGCGCCAATGCTCATTTCCGTCTCCTCGAGCCCTTCTGGCGAGGCAGCTCTTTCGCAGCGCCAGCAAGCCAATGGATCTACCCATGTGCCAACGTCAATGAGACTACCGACATGTCAAACCGTACGTGGAATTTTTCTTGAGGTGCCGATGGATACCAACTTACCAGACATGCAGGCACTGTATGGCCCGTAACTGGCGGCTCTACTCTGATCAACGGTTCCCACGAACATGCCCTCACCGCAATCAACCTCGCTCTCGGTACCAACGTCACAAATTTCAACATCTCGCTCGTCGAAATGTTCAACCAGACCGGCGCTGGTCTCTTCTGCCTAAAGGAAACTGGCCGTGCAAACCTCGAAGCCGGGTTCAAGGCTGCTGGCTACTCTGGCTTCGACGACGAGCGCATCAACGGACTCATGGGAACCATCCAGGTCATTCAGCTTGGCCACTCCGGAAGCGCACTGTACAACGTAAGTGTTCACATGTGATTTGTTATTAGCCAAGCCGGCGGGATCTGACAAATATGACAGTGCGCCGACATCATGTTCAACTCGACTGCCCAGCTCCTCTCCGACGACAAATGCCAGAACAGCACCGGCGTCTCTGGCGTCGCGATTGCAAACGTAGAATCCGCAACGCAGAGCGAGGGTGGCAATGGCACCTCTGGTCAGGCCCCTCAGCCAACGGGTGCGGCAGGTCATATCAGCCCAGCACTTGGCACGACAGTGTTTGCGGCGGTATTGGCTTGGGGACTCTTGTAGAAGTATATCATCATGTAGTATTCGACCAGTGTCGGATAGGATTAATTTGAAATGAATTTGACGAATGAAAATGCTGGCGTTTTTGCTTGATTGATTGATAAAGCTGCTTGAACACATAGATACAAACCAATAGCAGTAGCTCGTTGAAGTATTGCCTAAGCTTCTATGAGTAAGTATGATTCCGTACATTAACATACCAAGAGTACGGGCCTAGTCTTGTCTGAGAGGGCTCACGTGATATTGTTGATAACCCATGGACATAAAACAGCATGTTGACCCCTCTTTCGCACTTTATGAAAAACTAGTAAAAACTAAAAAAAAATAAGTTGGAGAGTGTACTAGCAGCACTTAAGAATGTTTTCGTGCGTAGTGCTAGGTCTATGAGGGTGTAGGCATAGGGTTAGTCAGTAGCTCGCAATTGGATGTAAAAGGAATTGTTGGCGCTCGCTCACTTTGAGAATAATGCTGTTGGCTATCATTTGATACTACAGGAGTTAATGCTTTGCTGGATGTTACATTCTGTCAAATCTATCAGTAATGAAGGTAGTATTCATGATGTTACATCACGTGCATGTGGTCTTTCTTTTGTCCTTATCTTCCCAAGCTCTGCATGTCTTCACAGACCGTTCTAGACTTGTACCCAGAACCAATGTACTCTTTTGGTTAGCAGAATTCTACACAAAGGATGTGCTTGACGCAACCAAGATCTTTCAGCATCACGTGTGGGCTTTCCATTGGCTGCTGTGGCTTTGATTGGATCGCTACAACCCCACGTCATGTACTTGTCCCACCTCCAGCTGTCAACCTTGCTTCTTCAATCGTACAGCCACGCAGGAGCTGCTACATTGACTTCGGTGTCACCGAGTAATGGTAGGTCACTAACTACGTGAGTTAGATCCTACAGGGCGTTTACCGCTCTTTCAATGATACCTTTCTCTAAGTCTACAATCTACCTTTGCATAAGCGAGTACGTAGGATTCGGCGACGTCACAGCTGCACCTGCATCATCAGGAGATGTCGAGAAAAAATCAAAGTGTCATTCGCTGTCGGCTGGCCTGCCGGGAGGTCAGCTCTGCACGATGCACATGCAAGAGCGTTGCCAGGCGGACTAATATAAAAAAACGGAGAGCGGCCACACTGATAGTACATGCGTCCCAATCAACCCCTGCTCTTGGCTTCGCTTCTCGAAAAGACGACTGGCGTTTGCAAAGAGTTCTCCAATATCCAGCGGTGATTGGCTGAAAAGCTCCAAGAGACGGTGAGAACATATCCTTGCCGCATGGTTGCATACTTACAACCTGCATCCTATTGCTCGTAGGGCTGATCTAGGGCTGACATGTGCTTGAAACTCTTACCGGCGATCCTTCTGCTGCACGTCGGTTTCGTTGCCGTTTTGTTGCTCGCCGAGTCGTACGGTGGAGCCGTTACCGCTACTCAGCCCAGCATGGGTCTGCTAAATATGACAGTACGACATGGGGTCTTCACTTATGCAGGTGCGGGAGGATCGAGAGCAAAATTGTCTCCGGCAGCGTGGAAAGTGTGAGACATTGCCAAAGACTCGGTGTCGACAGGATCACTGGGCGATGGTGCCTTCATGGTTTAGAACGTCAGCGGCCAGCGAAACCGTCTGTCGGTTACTCGACAGTACGGAATGTCAAATTGTGCAGAAAGCATGGCGCTGGATACTCGGCAAGGAAATCTTGTACGAGTTCCTGTTGGAGTAACATGCCGAAAACTAGACGATAGGAATACTGGCTCGACATAGCCTCAACGCCAGTGGATGTGCATCTACGTGCAGATGGCTCCGACGCAGTAGTGTCAGCATACAGACTGATGCACGCTCTCTAAGCTACAAGTCCGCTCAGTTGATGGGTTGATTGGGATATGAGTCGGTCAGGCTTTCAGCGGGAGAGGGCCAAAGCGGCTAGTAGCGCTCCGCCCCAAGGGCTAGTCTTGCCGCGTGCACTGGCTGGACATGTTCACTCTCCCCCAAACAACTGCCCTGCCCGTCATTGTGCATCACCACATGGCCATCGGATTCGTGGTCAGCTCGTGGGTACGGCTGAAAACGTCGGGCCAATGCAGTGTCCTCCGATCCCCGTCTCACCTGGCTCTCCGCCCTTTGTGACAAGCGGGGACTGTTGTTGCATGGATTCGGGAGCGCCGCATGCAGCTGATTCGCAGCGGCATGTAAGCCAGTAGCACCCTTGTGTCTGCATGCCCCACTTGTTTTCTGACCAGCTCCTAGAATACCTCACCATGCATGGCAGCTTGTGATGCCTCATTTGGGGGCTGAAAGGTACATTATCACTCCAAAATGTTTATAAGCCACCACTCAGCCCCTAATGGACGACATACGCTCCAGCAGGTCTAGCTAGTCCCTGAACATTCAGCTTGTGGTGCTGAATTGACAATGGCATCGAACGGCACGCACAACGACTTTGTCAACATTACTACCTCACATTCACGCGCGCCCAGCATGGTTCACGAGACACCCGCACACTTGCCACGTCCGCGGCTACCAGTCAGAAAGCAAGCGCCACAGAAGAACATTGACGATTTCTGGCACAAATTTACCACCAAACACCCCGGAAAGATCTTCACAATATTACCTGACAACTTGTACGCCAAACGAGCCGCCGCACATACACCAAGAGGATCCATTCCAGGAGTTAACGCACTCGCATCCTACGAAGAGGCCAAGGAGGCTTGCATTAGGAAAGTTGCAAAGATTGTTAAAGAATGCCGCAGACTTAACCAAAAGTACCGAGATCCACATTTCGATATTGAGGCAGACTTTAAACGGTCACAAGCCTTTCCTGACATACCAGCCGACTGCTTGACCGGATTGAATGAAGAAACAGCCACTTTCTTTCCTCAGTCGGTGAAAAGAGTAGAGGTTTGTTTCTGGACTATCTGTGTGAAATTTATCGCTGATTACAGTAGGACATCTTTGACAATCCACGGTTCTTTATTGAGGGCGCAACAGCAAATGACGTGCGCCAGGGCAATGACGGCGACTGCTGGTTTATGTCGGCGTTGGCTACTATTTCAAACAAGGAGGGATTGATTGAAAGAGTGTGCGTCGCTCGTGATGAAAAGGTTGGCGTGTACGGATTTGTTTTCCATCGAGGTAAATCGCCAGCGCGATTGAATGTCTCTATATATAAGCTAACGACATCCAGATGGCGAATGGATTTCCGAAGTCATCGACGACAAGTTGTATCTCATCAAGGAAGATTTTGACGAAGCAAAGCTCGAGCGTCATCAATGGCTGGAGCTACAAAACCGCAAGAGTCCCGAGGAGGAATACCGCACTGTAATGCAAACGGGTTCTAGGGCTCTTTACTTTGCACAGTGCAGCGATCCCAACGAAACATGGCTTCCGCTGCTTGAGAAAGCTTTTGCCAAAGCTCACGGAGACTATAGTGCCATAGATGGGGGGTTCGTAGGTGAGGGTATCGAAGACCTCACTGGAGGTGTGACTTCGGAGATTTTCACCACTGATATCCTTGACAAGGATCAGTTCTGGCGAGAAGAGCTTATGAACGTCAACAAGACCTTCCTTTTTGGATGCGGCCAGATGGGCGGCATCTATGGCTCACGCAAAGGCATTCAAGAGAAGCACGCATACTCTGTCATGGAAGCTCGGGAAATAGACGGCCAGCGATTGCTGAAGCTGCGCAACCCTTGGGGCCGGACGGAGTGGACTGGCCCCTGGAGCGATGGGTCTGAAGAGTGGACCCCTGAGTGGATGCAGAAACTGAACCACAAATTTGGTGATGATGGCGTCTTCTGGATCTCGTACAAGGACCTACTTCGTACCTACCAACACTTTGACCGTACACGGCTCTTTGGTCCAGAGTGGACAGTTTCGCAACAATGGACCAGTGTGAACGTCCCTTGGAGCGTCGACTACCTGGACACCAAGTTCAAGATACATCTTGCCAAGGGCGGCCCGGTGGTGATTGTACTAAGTCAGCTGGACGATCGCTACTACCAGGGTCTTGAGGGGCAGTATGAGTTTCACCTGCAGTTCCGCCTCCACAAAGATGACGAAGAGGAATACATAGTCCGCAGCAACGGAACGTACTACATGAAGCGCTCAGTCTCGACAGAACTTGAGCTCGAAGCTGGCAACTACACCGTCTTGCTGAAGATCAAGGCCACAAGGATTCACGAGAATCCAACACCGGACGAAGTCATTAGAACGACCTGCACCAAGCGTCGTGAGAAACTTTTATCCATTGGGCTGTCATATGATCTTGCTCATGCCAAAGGTCAGTTCAGAGAGCAGGAGAAGGAGAAGCTGGCGCGTGATAAGGAAGAGCGTATTGAGCGTAAGAAGGCTGAGATGAAACGAACACACGAACGTCAGAAGAGAATGCGCAAGCGAGAGGCGCTCCGTGACCAGAAGAAGGCTGCCAAGCAGACACATCGAGCGAATCGTTCCGGCGACATACAAGAAGTCGAGAGGAAACTGCGAGTTCTTCGCGGTCTCGGCATCAACGCTGAGGAAGAACCCAGAACATCTGGGGATGAGGACTCGAAGCCCATGCATCAGGTCGTCACCAGGCACCATCGTGCGTCTAGCACTGGCGCGATCCGTGAACGAGCCGATAGTACGAGCGGAAGCTTTAGCGGCCGAGGCGGCTACAACAAGGGCAGAGATGGATACAATGCCGCGCTACCCGGTGCGCTTCAAGGACGAGGCGGCTATAATTACAGCCCGCAAGGCTCGCCTGGTATCCATCACCAGGGCTTTCAAGGACGAGGAGGTTACAACCAGAACATGCCCGGGGAATTCCAAGGAAGAGGGGGATACAACCAGAACATGCCAGGCGAACTTCAAGGAAGAGGGGGCTACAACCAAAACATGCCGGGTGAGCTGCAAGGCAGGGGTGGCTACAATACAGAGCTTCCTGGTGCATATCAGGGCCGTGATGGCTACAATGGCCGCGATGGATACAACGAGGTGCAATTGACGGAATCGCCTTTGCCTACACCCATGCCTACACCATCAGCTACAATGATGGACGATTTCCATCCACAGCGAACACATAGCCCCCGACACTCTCCAGCTGCATCGCGCCGTGCAACACTTGCACCTATTCCTGGTGTGCGACCTGGTATCCAGGTCAGTCCCGGACTTAGCACAGGCGAGTTCTCTCATAAGGCTCAAGATGGATTTGGATATCCCAACGATACTTCTGACGACTCGTCTTGGGACTCTGAGATTGACGGCCCCTGCTCGCTCGACTCTAGTATCTGTGATGGCGAAGACGAGAATGAATTCTCCGAGCAGAGGCCACGGTACATCTGGTACAATGGTATGCGCTATCCTTACATCGAAGAGGTGGATGAATTTGAGCGGGATCCATGGAACGCAGTCTGTGTCGTTGGTCTGCGTGTCTTTAGCAAGGACAACACAGACGTCACGATTGAGGTGCACAATGGCGAGGGCGACCGTACGAAGAAGAGTGATGGTGATGATTCGAGCGTCATTAGCATGGCCACTGTCCGACGGAAGGAGAAGGAGCTTGATGTGGACGACCGCGCGGCTGATGCTACCAGCCCGTTACGTAAGAAGAATACGGGTCTAGATGATGAGCTCAAATCTCGTGCGATGCAACGGGAGTTAGTCGATCAGGTTGGCTCTGCACCTGCGGGTTTGGAGCTGAATCGGCAGGGGACTTTGAGTTGAGCTGGCTGTTGGAAATGACTGCGGGATGGCGTTATGGTTAAATTGATCACGGAGGACTTCTGTTTGTTATAGAGACTTTGCTTTTATGCGCAGGACGCGATTTGTACGAACAGGAATGGGCGGGAAAAGGCGTTTGTTCATTTTGGCAATATAAGATCAGTTTGTCCAAGAAAGCGTAAACCTTGCATGGCTGCTTACAAGTGATTCCTTGTGTTGACCATGTGGAGCTAAAAAAAGCTGTTGCCAACACGGTACAACCCCTCTTCCCGCCCCACCCCACCACTGACCCTGCATTTCGCTCTACGTCAATGATCAGCCCAACATGCGCGCCCAGTAATCCAGTTTTACCCTTGTGACATTCATTCTCACCTCTACTTTCACCTTCTTCTCCTACCTCTTCTCCCCAGTTCCCTCGTCATTTTCCATTCATGAAGTAGTTACCCCGCAGCTGTTGGACACAGTCATCTCGTCCCTTTGGCATCGCATGCCTCACCGGTGTTGTAGCCTTGTTGCGACTCTGCGCTGAGACCGAGAAACACTTGCACCTTGTCGCCGTCTTCGTTCTGCACAATGGAGAGTAATCTTTCTGCCGCCCGGGCATCCCGTCGTTTCCTCGATGAGCGCATTCGCAACGACTGGGATTACCCGGATCCGGCGGTTGAGTGGTCAGCCTCTGACGAGCAAGTACGCGATGCCGTCGATTTCCGCGAACGATACTATGGCGAGTCCGAGTCTGGGGACTCGGACAACGAGGATCAAGATGGCACGCCGTACAAGTTTGATAATCCGGAGAGTATCGGTGACGCGGTTGCGCATACCCGCGAGGCGCGCAAGAGACGGCGCAGGGAACGCATGGAGCGTGAGATGAAGGAAAACGAGGGCTTGCGTATCTGGGTAGAGCGAAGAGACGTCTGGACAGGCGCAGCGAGCGTCAAGAAATACGGCACAAGTCGGCAGCGCCAGAAAAATCGACCGTCATCCGCAGCAGGCTACTCGTCTGAAGAACCTGCCACCACTCCAGTAGGCTCCGAATCGCAGTCTGCCACCAGCACAGCACCAGAAACATATGACCTCGTGCCTGTTGCACCCCGCCTCCTCGACCAGAACCCCATCCGCGCCTCCATCACCCCACAAGCATATTCCGATATTTACCAGAAAATCGTCGTCTCATCACGCACTCCATCTGTACCCATCAACCTTGCAGACATGACAAAGGCATTAGTCCAAGGCTGGAAAGACGCAGACGAGTGGCCTCCACGCGTTGCAGCAGCAGATCCCCTTGCGGGCAAGAAGCGCGTCATTACTGGCCTTCCGTCAAACGGAAATCATGGAGGCTTTATTGCTCGACATCCGCATCTGGAAAAGGGTGTTGATGGCATGAAGCGGATTTTGCATCTTAATGTACAACACAATCATGAAAATGACCATGCGCAAGGGAAAGAGGTGTGAGGATTTGGGGTTGCTTGATGGGCTATGGGGTTGAATGTGAAGAACCTCTTTGTTTTCTCATCCCTTTCGGACTCAGAGCCCAAGAATAATCATGGGTTTCTTTTTCTTCGTCGCTGTTTTTAACCACTGTTTTTCATTTTGGAGAATTAAGTGCAGCTGAAAGTGTTTCTGCGTCGGTGTAACTTGGAGCATTGCACAAGAGAGCGTGCATGGAGTAGGATAGGTCCGCCATTTTTCTTTTTCTTACATAAGGAGAAGATGCAGGATTACCGGTATACCCCCCATGAGATGTATTTCCATAGCCTGTTTGTTTATTTTCTTCTTCTTTTACTGCAATTCGGAAGCGGAGGGGTTGCGCAGAGTAAACACAGGAAAGCCCTCATGTATGTATGACCTTTTTTTTCCAAAGGGCCAATACAAACATAGCACTACCCGCTTTTTTCCCTACTACCACTAGTATGTCTCCATCTCAAGCAATGTGTCACAGAGCAAGCACAATTGCACCACCCACTTCCGCATAATCCATGCTTCCATTCACGCACCGTCCCGCCACGGGCACCCCCATCGGCCCATCGGCCGGTGCTCCGATACACCACTCAACCACATATCCCAGGGGGCCTACTAGTCTGGTATCCGGCCCCAGTTTTTTGCTCCATCTATGATCTCGTACGAGGGGAGGGAGGGGGGAGATCCGGAGCTTTCGGGTTCCGAGAGCATGTCCGAAAAGGTGGATAGAGTGGAGGACAAGTGGAGGAGCGGTGTAAGTATCGCATGCCTCATTCTTCTCTCAGGCTATCTTTAATGGAAAGCTCATTCTTGCAATTCGCTCAATTCCTCCCCCCACCTTTTTTTCTTCTTCTTTGAGATTGAAGAAGTTCTGAAGAGCAAAGTATGCCTGGTGCTATATCCAATGATACTCCCACGACCGCGTCTGCGGAGCGGATTTGGGGGATTTATCATATTACGCATCCGCGCTCGGCGTCGAATCTCTTCCAGAACATGATGGGCCAGCAGCCGGGGTTCCAGTATTTGAGCTATAAGTTGTTTGGAGCGGGGTTTGAGGCGTTGACGCAGTTGCAGAGGGGCCCGTTGGGAGAGTTGCCAAAGGAGGATCGAGAGAAGTTGTTTGGGTTGTTTGAGGCGGGGTTTGAGGGGATGCACGAGGAGATTGAGGGAGTGGTGGCGGGTGTAAGTTTTTGTTTTCTTTTTTGCTTTGCTTTCAATGTTTTTTTAAGGGAATATGGAGGGAGAGGAAAGGAAAGAGAAAGAGATTTTGTTTGGGGCGGAGTGTTCGGAACATATGTATGGTCGGAGTATTTACTTGCGATTCGGCGTAGACATGGGGCATCTTGCGAATCTGAGCCTCAAGATTGCGTGCTCTCTCTTGGCTCGCATGACAAGGCATCCGACTTTGTTATCGAATTGGAAATCAACTGACGTTGAAATTGTATAGGGCAAAAAGGTGTTTATGAAAGAACATGCAGTCTTTCTCTCCGCCGCCGATAAACTCATAGGCCGCATCCACAAAAACGACAATGTCGCTCCCTTAATCGTACATGAGCGCGGTGTCGCACCCAGCAAGTCATCTCACACGAACCCGACTTCGCTGCCCGACAGTTTCCTGCTGAAGTTCCAGCCGATTTTCCAGATTAGGAACCCAGTCCTCATGTTCCCCTCGCTTGTCCGCGCGCAAATGGACGTCAAGGTATCAGGTCGACCCGGCGACCCCGTCGGTCAAGTCATGCTTCAGCTACGCGACTCACGCACTTTGTACGACTGGTACGCTGCTCAAACTGCAAACACAGGAATTACCCGACGCATCATTGACGCCGACGACGTCATGAACGATGCAGCCTCCATGCGCAAACTCTGCTTGGAAACAGGTCTCGATCCCAATGCCATTGTGTTTGAATGGGAGGAGCGCACAGTCGAGGACCCAGTGCAAGCCAGGTTTTTTTCTACGCTGGCGAAGAGTAAAGGCATTGTGAAGGGCTTGGATGCGAACGGGAAAAGTGTAGAGGGGGAGATGGAGAAGTGGGTTGAGGAGTTTGGGAGGGAGAACGCGGAGGAGTTGGCGAGGTTGGTGGAGAGGGCTATGGGGGATTATGAGTATTTGCACAGTAAGAGGACAGTGGCGGGAGAAAAGGAGTAGATTTTTCTATGTCAGTTTGATAGGAGTGTTGGAAGGAGGACCATGAGGCAAAAAGCGGATGGAGTTAAATTGTAAAATTACCAAATGTAGTTTTGAGTTTTATTGTAGTGAGACAACGGAATTTCCAGAAAGGTGTCTAGAAACTAGGACCAGATGAAACAAGCCTAATTTTCTTTTCCTTGCATAGGTTAAGACAGTATAGCCGTTGTAGTCGAGTTTGACCATCTCCCGCAGTAGTTGAGACCTGGTTTTTCCCAAAAGATTTTGCTGCAAACCAGAATCTCAAAAAGCACTCATTCATCAGACAATACGACAACGTGCACCGTGACTTTGGTTATTCAGGATCAGTTTCCGAATCATGAAGTCCTTGTGGTTTCACAACATTCATAAGCAAGCCCAGGTAACAAGCAGTGCTAGCACGAGTGTGGAGATAATTGCAGAAAGTATCAAACACGTGACACACATTGTATGGTTGAACCTCGGGTGTCCTCGGTACAACCTCAAGATCTAGAACTGTACAAAACAGCACGCTGATACTCGATGAGTGGGGCGGCGCAACTATGAGCCCACCTGCAGTTCTCAAAACGACATCATAAGTCTGTGAAATGGTGTGCGATGCGTGAGAAATATCGTATTCGAGTCCAGGACCCAATCCAGTGACGAGAATGACAATCTTACAAGGCACTCTCTGCAGCCCCGCATTCCGATTGTTGCATGTATACCGTGCGGGGCTTTCGTACGCACTCAAACCCCCTGTTCGTGAGATCATACAATGCCAGAACGGGCAGTAATTATGCCTAGCGTGACGTGGAGAAAGATTTTAGCTTACGCAGGCCTTTCTTACATGTATGCGCTACGAATCTGTTCAACCGCCCTTCACCGCACTTGAGTCGTCAGAGTGCCCGTAGCGCTCATCTTGGATCTTTCTTCCTACCATGACAGACGCTGAAATAGATCATACAACAACGGTATATTGGAATCATTCTATCAAAGCTAACAAACTTTGCAAAGCAGTGCTGACTAGCAGTGGCTTTCTGCGGGATCATGTCGTGAATTGCGTGAAAATGGTACGCACGAACACCCAAACTCCTAAACGGCCTGTCCTGCTCTTGAAAAGGATCTGATCGCTAAAATTCACCACAGGTAATAACGGTTGAGAAATGGGTGAGCTCAAAGTCTCAATAACGCCCCTTTGCAGCGTTCGTGCAGCTGCAGTCTCCACAGCTTGTATTCGTTCAGCAAGAAGACTTGACCGTCTTTCCCGAAACAAAAGTTGGCGACACCACCATCGACAAGAATCTTTGCCAGCAAAACGCCACCAGGAGACCAGATGTTCAGTCCATCTCCACATCCACTGTAGACATTGCCGTCCAAATCGCACTTGATGCCGTCAGGAACGCCAGTGTCGGCCATGGCAAATAGCCGTCGATTGGTCAAAAACGGTTGGCCAGAGTAAGTCTGGACATCAAACGCATATCTACGTATAACTTGTCAGAAAAATGTCCTCATAGCCTCCAGAAACCGGTAAGCACGACTAACATGACTCCATCCTGGCAATTTTTTGAAACAAAGAGAGAAGAGGGAACACAAAAAAAGGCACTTACATATGCGACACCCTCGCATCATCCGTCGACCCATCGCCATGAATCCAATCGGTATCCGTCACATAGACAATCCGCTCATCAGGACTAAAGCAAATGCCATTCGGCCTACTAAATCCGTCCGCCATTGCGCGGATACACGCCGTGGCAGGATCAAAGCGATACACCTGATTCGGCAGCCTAGGTGGCGGGCGAATCTTCTGCTCCCAGCCGTAATTCGGGTCAGTGAACCAAATCGAGCCGTCGGACTGGACGACGACGTCGTTGGGGGAGTTAAAAGGGCGGCCATGGAAGGAGCTAACCAGCATCCTAGCCTCGTAGGTAGTAGAAGACGAGAAGCCTGGTTTTGAGTGCATGTATGCTATGCCACCAGGCGTATCCAGTGTGCCCTGCGAACAGAATAGAATGCCATCTTTGTAGTTTACACCCCCATTGGCCATGTGCACATTCTTGACGTTGACCTCGGCGTACTTTGCGTCGGTGCTGGCTGCGTCTGCGGATAGCTGGATGCGCGAGACGTGGATGTGGGTTTTGCCCGTAGCCGGGTGCTGGTACTGGTTGCTTGTTACGAAGAGGCAGTTTTCCTCGGGCATGAAGACGCCTGCTTCGTGGGCAAACGGGCACTTGTCATCTTCGAGCAGCACTTCGAGTTTGGGGTCCTGCCCGAAGAGATCCTTGGCTGCTTCGTCGTAGATTCGCAACCATGAGGGAACGGGACTCATTGCTACGGGCATGCTGGGGGGCGTTTGTGTGTGTGTGTGTGTTTTTTTGGGAAAAAGCTAGAACGGATTGGGGTGAATTAGTGTGAAATAAAGTTTCGGTCGTGCGTGCGGTTTGAGGGTTAACTCGCCCCGGAAAAGGCGTTGAGGCTTACCCCGGACAATCAGCTTCGAAGAGGGCACTTGTTATAACGCGCGAGCGGCCATATTGGCGAGCGTTCAGTCGGCGTTTGACCGAGCAGGATACGATCACGCGACGGCGAACTGGCGCGGTTTTTGATGACTCAATCGCCGAGGGCTTGTTAGATGTACAGTTTGCCGGTCGGGGCGGCGTTTGAATCAGGTTTTACGGTTTTGAAAGGGTTCGTGGTGCGCTGGGCCCAGAGCAAGGCCGGAGGGTCGGTCCTGCGTCGGCCAGATCATACAGGCAGGTTAAGCAGTCCACGAGCATTGGTTGGCTAAAAAGGGGCTTATCCTAGGGCCGAATCATACATACAAATACCGCTTTGAAACTAAGGTGGTTGGGTGACATGGTGGGCGGTCTCCATCTAAACCTTCCTACGCCTAGCATGTGCGTGAGGATAGCATCATCTCGTATACATGACCTTGACGGCCTCGCCCACCGAACTAGCCCAGATACTAGCGACTGACTCAATCACCGCCTCGAATCGACACTTGCCGTATGTAGCATCTCTAGGGCGTTAGGCAAAGCCGGCTAGACCCCAGCATTACCCCAGAGGCCACCAAATCCCGCGGGATATGCATGACTTTGCCGTACCCATGGGGAAGGGCCCCGCAAACTCACGATCGCGACCCATGCTTTCCAGAAGGACCGTTTCAAGGTCCATGTATATATATGACATGGGAAGACTCCACAAATGCACTTTTGTGAAGACTCTCCTCGCATATTCTCCACTCAGCTGTGCATGTGAACTCGCACATCGACCAAACCGCAGTTGAGAAAACCTCTTCCCATCATGCCTGAACTCAAGGGCCGAGCGCTTTTGCTCACCGTTAACCTTCTTACCTCCCTTGGGTTCATGTTAATTGGTTATGACAATGGACTCATGGGCGGTCTGGTCGGTGCGCCGGCGTTCAAGAAGACATTTGATAATCCGTCGTCGGATATGATTGGAACCATTGTTGCCATTTTCGAAAGTAAGTAACTACGAATACTGTAGAGCAGGACACATAGTAATGTGCGACTACAGTTGGTTGTTTCGTTGGATCCATAGCAACAGCCTTCTTCGGAGAGAAGCTTGGTCGCCGCAAGAGTGTTGCTATCGGAGCTGTAATCAGCATGGTCGGCGCCCTTCTACAAGCCACCGCATTTAGCCGAGCCCATCTCATCGTCGGCCGCATCGTCTCTGGAGTCGGACTCGGTATAATAAACTCAACGGTACCGGTCATGCAAGCCGAGTTCAGTCCCAAAACCAGCCGCGGTGTCTACGTCTGCGCGCAGCTTTCGACTTTGAATTTTGGTATTTTCCTCGTATACTGGATCGACTACGGCTTTGTAAACCACACATCGAGCTATGCTTGGAGGATTCCCACCATCCTCCAATGGGTTATTCTCCTCAGCATTATCTTCCTCACAACAGTCATTCCTGAGACACCTCGATGGCTGGCGTCGCATGACCGCTCAGAAGAGTGTCTGGCGGTATTGGCACGCATCCAAGGTACCAGCGAAAACGACTCTGTAGTCCAGAGACTCCACCACACCATTACTGAAACCGTTGCGTACGAGGCATCGCGACAAGCTGGATGGAAGGATATCTTGAGGAGCGACCCTATCAAGTCGAGGAGGCGTTTCTTGATTGCTTGTGCCATTCAGATATTCCAGCAACTGGGTGGTATCAACGCCGTTATTTGTAAGTTCTGTAGTAAGCAAATACCACAAAAACAAACTCCGACTAACTGGATATCAGACTACTCTGGCACTCTCTTCGAGAAGAGTATCGGATTCGACACCCACATGTCCGCCCTGATGAGTGGTTTCCTTCAAACCTGGTTCTTCGTCGCATCCTTCATCCCCTGGTTCCTGATTGACAGGATCGGCAGACGCCCACTCCTGCTATCCATGATCAGCCTCATGGCTGTCGCCATGGGTGTACAGGCTGCTCTTATCTACCAGGTGCAATTCAAGACTGCTTCATCTCACGGCGCGGGTATTGCAGCGGCTGCCATGCTGTTCGTCTTCCAGGGCGCATTTACCATTGGTTTCCAAGCCACCGTTTGGGTGTACCCGTAAGTTTTCTTTTCCCAACTGAATATACAAAGGCAAAAAAAAAGAGGAACTAACTTGAAGCAGATCTGAAATCCTTCCTCTCCGCCTGCGTCAGCGCGGTTCAGCTATTTCGACAGCAGCAAACTGGATTTGTAACTACGTGAGTTTCGCAGCATAATCACAAACGATAAAAAATGATTGTTACTAACACATTGCTAGATCATTGTGCAAATCACACCTCATGCTATCAGCAACATTGGATGGCGCACATACATCATCTTCGCCGTCCTCAACGCTCTCTGGGTGCCCATCATCTATCTCTTCTTCCCCGAGACTAGGGGCTTGGAACTCGAAGACGTCGACCGTCTTTTTTCTCACGGGGAGAGCCACTCCGAGTTGCTGGAGAAGACCAACGATACGGAGCGAGTGGAGAAGATATCAGAAGTGAAGGAAGTGGAACTATGAGCTATGACCAGGACTCGGTGTAATGATTATCAAAGTCAAACATAACATGCTGAATATCAACTCCGCCAGCTTTAATGCTGCATAACTGTGATATGCCCTTGGAGCTCTTTCTTAGTGCAGGGAAATGTTCAAATTCACTAGCGTCGACTAATGATTAGAGGGGATGGACTAGCAATCGGAATATTAAGAAACAAGACAAGAACCCCATTTCCACATCTTGCCAAGTCACTTTCTTGTGGGGTATGGGGAACAAAGCCATGTAGGGTTAGAGTCCATATGGTTCCCCTCTGGGGTAGGGTTAGGGTTAGGAACCCTGCATATGAGAGCTTAGTGAACGCCACATACGTTGGTTCCAGTTGAGTCTAGATACCAAACCATGAGTCGACTCGCAGGGCCGCGAAATAGTATCATATACCGCGAAAGATGGATGGCAGAGAAACGGCCAAAAAAAGATATGGGAATGAAGAATAGCTTCACACAATTCCCCCAGATTAGTAATTTGGGAATCGAGGATATAAAAGTGATATCTCCACAAGATTAAGTACATGCACGCCAAGAAGAATAGTCCACCTTGGATTCGTCTTGGCAAAACAACTGACACTATGCTTAATAAGTGGAGCCAAAAAAAAAAAAACAACGGTACGTGACTAGCTCCAGATCATTGATTCTAGATCCAAAGTATAGTAGTATGCTGTGTACCTATAACATCACGTGAGCGAGTCTTGTAAACAACTAGATCTAGATATGTACCCTGTCTAAAACATAACCTTTTCGCCGTCCAACCAAGCGAAGAAAGGTGGACAACAGTGAACCTTTTCATCACAACAACCCTCCTATCCCTCCCCTCTTCCAAACCATTCACCAGCAGCAGCAGCAGCTTAGTCATTCAAAAAGGGGGGGTGGGGGAGGTGTTCCCCATCCCCGTCCCCACAAAAAAGCCATGAATATCCCAAAAAAAAAGAGAGGAAGAGAGAGAGAAGAGCCCAACATTCACATCTTCCTCACCATCCAAACCTGAGCCAAATACGCGTGCCGCGTCAACGCCCGAAGATTAAACCCATACTCGGCCTCCTTGCTCCTGACCTTCGCCCCTTCAAACGTTAAGGCGCCGCATTGGGGGTCGATATCTTCAAAGACGAAGCCCATGGCTTCGACGACGCTAATGATTTCTTCGAGGCTGAGCTGGACAAGAGGGCCGGTGCCGTAGAGCAAAGGACCAAAGTTGATCCAGCGGCCGCCGGGCTTGAGCAGTCGGTGTATGGTGTCGAAGTAGGCCATGAGGTTGCGCGCCGTGTCGATGAAGAAGTGGGTGACGAGCGTGTCGAAGGTGGCTTCTTTGTCGTTGAGCACCGTGTTGAAGTCGCCTTCGACGACGAGGACGTCGGGGTGCGGTACCGTGTTTGGGACGGAAATGGGGCGCAGCATGTCGGTTGTTGTGGCGTGGTGCGACATTGCGTCTATAAAGGGGTGGACGGTTAGTGTGTGAGCGCGGGTTTGTGCGTCCATGTAGCGGTAGCCGACGTTCATGAACATGGACCATTCGTTGAGTGTTACTTCGAATCCTGGAGGGGGAGAGGGGACGTTTCTTTTAGTAAGAAGTTGTAGGGGGGGTGGAGGAGAGACGAACCGCCTAGGTTGGCTACGTCGTGGCCGAGGCGACCTAATCCAGAGCCTGGGAGCAAGACGCTGAGTTTGGTGTCGTCTGGATACTCTGACTTGATGGTTTTCAGCATGCTCAAAATGCATGGAAAGGCTTCATTTCTCTCCTTCAGCCCCTCGTCTGCCCAATCTCGCACATAATGTTTTAGCGTTTGCGAGGTAGCAAACCTATCTGCTTGACGCCCATCCTTCTCCGCCAGTGTCATGTGAGCATCGAGCTCTTTCTGCTCAATGCTGTAGAACTGCATGGCATTCTGGACCATATCCTTGCAAATGGCTGCGTTGGCAAGAATCAATCCTTCAATCTCGTCTAGCTTCTTCTTGTACCCAATAGTACTTTCTAGTGTCTACAAGGTAATTAGTCAAATCTGAGGTCCATGGTTGGTCTGAATGGCGTGCCTTCATCTGCTTTTTGCTCACGCTCTTGTACAAGGTCCGCCATCGATCAAGCTCAGCCATGTGTCGCTCACGATATCGGGTGTATGCCCAAAGTGCTTCGAGCAGTCTGTATCGTGGATGGTTCGTTGTCCATTTACCGCTCTTTCGATCCATCCGCTTCATTAGATGAGCTTTCTCATGTCTATGACGGGCTGCTCTTGGCGCATGGTTCGACGGCATCGCGCCCATCATTAAAGGATTTTGTACTGCCCGTGCATCTGCAATAGCTGCGGTCACTTTGTCCATCTCCAGTGCCGGTACATTTCCGGGATGTTGGGTTGTGTCAGCTTGGCTTGTACCACCATCGGCAGCTCCAAGCGAAGCCGATGCTGCCCCGGCTAGAATTAGCAGCAAGGATGATCGCATCTTCTAAATGAACCAGAGAATATGTGTGCACCGAGTGGGGGTCAGATGTGTTGATTGAAAAAAAAGATCAATTTTTGCGTGCGTGAGCGAGTACCTTGCTGTCTGCCAAGCAGCCGTCTCTACTAGGCTTTACAATGTTGCACTTGGCAGCTGTGTTGTCAGGTGTTCAAGATGAAAATGCCCTTCAGCATTATCGGCGTACATACGATGACGTTGCGGGCGAAACTAGATGGGAGGCTGTAGCAGGGCGGGAAAGACAAGCAATACAGATATATGTAAAGCATACGGTAGATTGAGACCCGCATGCATGAGCAAAGTTTGGCTTGCGCCAGGGCATGACCACACTAATATGTAGAACTGTGATGGAGGCGCTTTTTAAGTAACGTGCCATACTACTCGATGCTCAGGTAAAATCCATGACTTGCATCAACTAAATTCACAACAGACAATCTGTGTGCATGAAGACTGAAAAAAGACATGTCGACAAAACACCAAACCCCTCGTTCCGCTGCACTAATACAGAGAGCGCATATTACAGTTGTCAGTATAGCGTGGAAAAGATTCAGGCGCCAAAACAAACTACGTAACTATCCTACAAAAAAAGCCGAACTTTTACGTCCACTTGAAAGCATGAAACCACACCACTTAGTATCCTACGCCAACCTCGCCTGGAAAACTGGCCCAGAATTCTTGGGTAGCATTCATCATCATGGCCTCAAGCTCCTCGTTTGTCAGGTCAAAGGAATCAAGATTGAAAGTCTCGTCTGCTTCAAGAGGTGGAACTGCGGGTGGTGTGTTCCAGGACACATTGGGAGTGTAACTGCTGGGCGTGGCAGCCGTGGTAGGCATTGGGCTGCTCTGCGAGGGGTTTGTAAGGTTTGCGATTATGGGTTTGCGCTGGCAATTTGGGTTAGCAGAGTTGGTAGAATGATTCAAGGGGGGGCTTACATGAATCTGGTGATCCGTGGGCGAGTGGACCGAAGGTGCCAAAGGAGACTCATGAACTCTAGAAGATTCACTTGGCTTCTGTACTGGTGATGGCTGCAGCGCGCCGTAGTCAATCATGGCATGTCGGAGGGCTTGGCGTTCTTCTGGAGACGCTGGGCCATCCTGGCCCAAGACGGAGCGGTAGTAGGCTTGCATGCGCCTGATGGTATCAAACTGGAGGCCTTGTTAGCATGCACTCAATTGTCGTGGGAGCAATGCACTTGCCCATGTTTCAGCCATTGGCCATTGTGTCTTCATCTCCTTGAGGAAGTTGCAACCCTGGATGACGCTCTTTCGAGCCTTTTCCTGCCAGCGAGGGTCGTCGTCACCACTAGGGAAGTTGAAAGAGTACAGCATGGCACCGACGGCAGTGTAAATGGTGAAGCCGACCCAAGGGACTAGTCCGCGGAGGAAGTAGACACCAAAGGTGCGCATCTCCTCGAGCATGTCGAGGACCATGACGGCGTCCTTGAACAGCTCTCTCCGGGAAGACCTCTCCCACTTTTTCCACATGTCGCGATGTTCATCGTATGCGTTGTGCTTCTCCTCGGCACCTGCCCCATTCTGGTGGGGGCCGAGAACGGGCAGATAGGCGCGGTGCAAGAACATGTAGCTCATAAAGTGGATGCAGTGCATGTAGCAGTAGGCTTGGCCCTGCTCAACGGCATTGTGGCTGTGAATGGTAAAGAGGTCGTACTGGAGGCGCTGGGGCAGGGACGACTTCCAGCCCTCGAGCTCGTAGATGAGCTGCTGGAACTGCGACGACGAGGACCAGGGCAGCTCCGTCTTGAGGTCCTCGTTGCAGGCCCAGCGGGCGACCTTGCCCCAGATGTTTGCGGCGCGCATGCTGTAGCCAATGATGCCGATTTCGCCAATGGGGAGGGCGACGGGGGGCATGCGCTTCGTGTTGTCGAGCTGGGGGGTGCACTTGGGCTCGCCAAAGACAAAGTCCTCGCGCTCGCAGGGCAGCTGGATGGACATGTCTGCGGCGGTCAGGGACCTCTTGCGGCCCTTGCCGCCGCTCAGCAGCGAGTCCATGAGGAAGCAGGTCCAGGCGGTGCGGCGGCGGACCTCGGCCTCGATGAACTCGTCGCGGGTAGGGACGCGGTTGCGGGGGATGCCCGTCTCGCGGGTCAGGTCCATGACCTCGACGAGGCGGATGGCCATGCCCAGGTAGATCCAGGCGCGCCTGCCATTGCCAGCGCCCCAGTCGTGGCCGGTGAGCATGAGCAGGGCCTGGACGCGGCTGATGGAGGGCGTCTCGAGGTCCTGCTGCAGGATCTGGCGGGCGTGGGCGGCGTAGGCATTGCTGGCCTCAGTCTGGGTGCGGAAGGGCGGCGGCGGGTCTTTGACGAAGCTGCAAGGCGAGGGAAGGGGCAGTCAGCAGCGTGCTCGCGCGGTGTGCTGGAGCGGGAGGGTTGGCGGACGTACCGGATGGCGAGCGCCAGCATCGCCCAGGCCATCCATGGCTCGAGGGTGCGGTCGCGGATGCGCAGCAGCAGCGTGGGGGTATGGTGGAAGCTCCACTTGTACGAGCAGCGCAGGTAGCTGTTCTTGACCTCGTCGGTCAGCAGGTCGAAGGGATCGAGGCCGTCGAGCAGGGCAGCAGCAGATGCCGCCGTCGGCGAGGCCTGTGTCGCGGCAGCGATGCCGACCGGCACGGGTACGTCATTGCGGCGGCCCTGCTGGGGCGCGCAGAGGGCGGCGGAGTGGTGTGCAGTTGCAGTTGCAGTTGCATGTGCGAGCGAGGGCGGCGTGTCGCCTGCATCCTCAGAGTGCCGTGGCCGTTTGGGCTTGCGGTGCATGGCACTCGTTCCGGGCGCTGCTCTCACCGTCAGTCAGACTCGCACACACAGCGCACACGGCCCAGCAGCCTCGCCGCGCCCGCGACGCTGCCATCACAACAACCGACACCTACCTGGGAACTCGCACGCGTCGGCCCGCCCGCTCTGCTTGCATCTGTCGCACGGCGGCCGGTCCTCGTGGATGCACTTCTGCTTGGCCGACCGGCAGGACACGCAGGCGACGGGATTGCGCATGTTGGCGGTGCTGGGCTGGGGGCATATGGCTCAGCAGCGGCGAGGACGACGAGCGGCTGCTCGACTGCCACTGCCTGCGAGCCACGCACAACGAGGCCTCGTCCCGGCCGCCCGCCCGCCCTGCCTGCCCGCCTTGCCTGCCTGCCCCTTTCCCTTTGCCTTTCCCTTTCCCGCCCTCGCCTCTGCTGCCACGGCCATCCTCTCGCTGCGCCGTCCCACTCCACGTTCGAGTCGTCGTCCTTGCCCTCTGCTGCCCCTTCTTCTTTGTCTTCTTTCTTTTTTGCTCCTCTGGCCTCCCTCCCTTTCCTTCAATCCCTCCGCCCCCTCGCCTCGCCCGCCCCGGCCCATCGACACCCACATGTCTCCTCTTCTGCCCTCTGCGCCGGCGTCCGGGCCTATGCTCTCGCTCTGGCCAAGGAACGGCGCCTTGTGCTGTGTTGGGGTTGATTGCGGGGTGTCCCTTACCCCAAATGCTTGGGCCCTCCTCTTTGTCGTCGCAGTCTGCGGATAGCGCACAAGGTCGGCGCACCCAACGTCTGCCCCGGAGCCCTTCCCTTGTCCGCCTCATTGGCCAGCCTCCTCCACGCCCACACTTGCCTTTCTTCACGCCTGCATTGTGTCGCCCGCGTCTTGCATTGCGTGAACAACACCTTGTTTGCCTTGCAGCCCTTGTCCGCTGTCAGCTTCCACAACGCTGCTCTTTGATTGCTGACATGCACTGTGTCACTACACGGACCCACTCGCCAAGCCACTCGCTCCTTCCATACGACCATGCCTTACCCTCACTCTCCACAAACTCTCTCTGTCCCCTATCCTTTTGTGCCCCATTATCCCACCTCAGGCTACCAAAAAAAAAGGCCAGTCTCCTCAACACATGAATCAAAAATGACTGACCAAGCCCCTCCCACTCCTGCCAGTGACGCCAGCATCGACACATATCACACACTTGCACCTTCCAAGATACCCGTCAAGAGGAAGCTGCAGGACTCTTCCGATGACTCCGCCTCCGTATGCTCTTCCCCAAAAAGCACCAGCCAGCTTACCCTTCGCTAACCAGAATTTCATAAGACTGACCCCCCTTCCTCGCCAGCTCCCGCGAAGAGGAGACGCCATGACAAGGACGAGTATAACCCCAAGGTAACAAACACCCTCTTCACCCCCATCATCCTGTTAACTCTCACTAGTACATGGCTCGCATGTGTTTTGGAGCACACGTGTTGCGCCAGCAAGAAGCTGGCATCACTGACTATACCTTGCAAGCCCAGCAAGACTATCAGCAAGATCTTACCTGCATGTTCGCCCATGCACAGTCCAAGGGCTATTTCAGAAAAGGTACGGCGGCCCGCCACTTGATCCCTCGTCTTGCAAACATCACCCCCCGATCCAGACATGACAAGATCGCACTGGTCGATGAGTTTGTCCAACACTACGAATCGGTCCAATGTGACCTACTTTTCATCAGAGATATCATCACTGGTAATGCCCGGGTCGATCTTGATGTTGTCACTACTCTACGTGATTGTCTCTCTGCTTTCCACTTATCTTTGGCCAAAGGTGTCAAGTGGCGCACCATCATGCCATACACGCCCCTGCCCAAAGCTTGTCTTCCAATGTTGCGGGATTTCATCGCCAATCCCAAGCACTTCCGCTTTCTTGGCCATCTCACACATACCATTGTGGATCTCGAGACCTGGCTTAGTCCCCCGCCCCTTTGCATGGAGCTTTCGGCCCGTCTGAAGGCGTCAGCCACAGATACACTTCAGCAAGAGAACGAGAAGACCACTGTGAACCCTTCACCAAGCTTGTCAACTCAGGGTGATGCCGACAGAGAATCAATGGCAAAACTCATAGAACAAGGCATGGAGCAGGTAGGTTTGGTGACAGAAAGGGTAAGTCTGGTGACAGAGAAGGTAGGTCTGTTGGCAGACAAGGTAAGTCTCTTGGAAGAGCAGCTCCAACAAGCTGAGACAGCACATACGCGGATCACCCAAAACATCAATGTGCTAGAGGCAACCTCTGCAGAACAAAAGGCAGAAAACAGGTTGAAAGAGGAGAAATGGGTCGCTGCCGCATCTCAGATTCGGAAAGAACATTGCGAGCATGTCGCCCGGCAAAACAGCGAACTCGAGCGAATAAAACTTGCTGTTGAAGCTGAGCGTACAAGGTGCGTCGACGTCATGGCAAATACCAGCCAGATGTTGGCGGAAGCAAACGAACGGATTAGCACGTTGGCGAGTGTACCTAGCAGCCTCCCTGCATCTCAGCCTTGGAACTCCCCAATGAACTTAGATCAGAGTTCTGACATGATGGATATCGACCAGAAATCCATTTCTAGTGCAAATGGGTTTTCAGCCCCGAATCCAATCGACCCTGGGAACAACAACCCATTTGCCAGCTGTCTGGCCCAAGACACAACTGCACACCAGCATGCCAATCCGTACGGGCTCTTTAAAGAGGCATGTCGTGACTTTAAACTCGGAACATGTAGACGTGGCAAGAAATGCCGGCTTCCCCATAAGCCTTGCCGTCACTGGTTGAGTGGCAATTGCAAGTATCGGGAAAAGTGCAATAGAAGTCACGACCCTTTCTTCCTTGGGCAACCTGATACTCAACCCCAGTTCTCCCAACATTCCGATGTAGACCTGATGAGTCTTGATGACTACCCAAATCAAGATCCGAATCCAATGACTGTACAGGGTCCATTTGGAAGCATTCAGCCGCCGATACTGACTGAACATGCGCCTCAATTAATGCCAAGCGAGCCAAGTGTGTGTTTCGCCCCCAACACGATGAACTCTGGTAAAAAGATTGCACCCGTTCCTCATTTTCTTGATCCCCACTCGCACAAAGGTGGTCCTCATTTCAGTCAGCTGAGCGCCCCGTCAGGGTTCGGCCGAGAACCTTTTCAGTCGGTCCAGCTGAGAAAGCAGGCCTGCCAAGATCACTTGTATGGTAAATGCAATGAAGGTCGAAATTGTAAATTTGCGCACAAACCGTGCCCTTTCTTCACCAAAGGCAGCTGTAGGTTCACAGATGAAACATGTAATCACAGCCATGATCCGCTCTTCTTCACTCAAGCCGATTCTAGCAACAGCTCACAAGAGTTTCCACCGCAATATACGAGAATTATCCAGGCTGCCAGCAAAACGAAGAACCCGAGGGCAGTTCCTACATCGAGTAAGCTTTGTAGGTGGCAAAGTAGTCCCTTTGGCTGCACAAACGCTCGTTGTAAGTACGAGCATGACCCACCAAAGCTGATCTTGGGACAAGGATAGAGTAGCAATTCTTTCTGTATCTCCTCGGCTTCATCTCTCGACCTTTCGTCCTCGCATTCACGACTTGAAGCTTCATGACCTGTACCATTTTCCAGTTGTGTTCAGCGTTTACTCGATTGCATGTATTCTATAGATTGTAAAATCGCACGTTGGAATCTTTGTTTATAAATCTGCTTGCTCTTAATTTGTCAAATACTATTTGAAACATATCAACGTCCATCCCTACGTTTATACTAGCTAACGATGTAAATGCTGTCGCTATGCTAAGAAATAACATCATGGCATCACCCTTCAATCGGCCCTCTTCCGGCCTATACTTGATTAGAAATTTCTTCCTAATTGGTATTACTCCGCCGCTGATGCTTGTTCCTCTGTGATAGATAATATGTAAGTCAGTATTGAACATGAAAATGTATAGTGTACTCTAGAAAACGGGCAATGACACAATCAACCCTACGCGCTTTTTTTTTTGAAAAAAAAAGTTTGAGACCGATTTACTGGTAGAGTATGAGCTGCACAGTAGATTGGGTATTGCGCTTGTCTATGTAACGATGTGGCTACATGGCAGAATTCATATATGTGGGCCACTAAATAAGGGGGAAGATACAGGCCAAGGAAGAGAGGGTATTGGAGGATATTTAATTAACAGCACTAACAGAACGAGCGATAGCTTAATCAACAATGCGCCTCTTAACATCAGAGGTTGATGCATTAGACGAGCAAGAGCTGCAGAATGGATACAGGCTGAACCTGTCCATTCACAGACATGACGGGTACCATCCGGACACCCGAAAGAAGATGTGTCCCGTTACACCGTGCGGACGTTACAAAACTCTTTTCAGGGACTCGTCGTTATTTACACAATGGTCTCTACACACTCTGGTTAGTCAGTCTCAGCCGTTTTCCCACGAAACGACCCAACAAAGCCACACTTCCACCTTCCAACCCACAAACAAAGACCAGTCTCGTTTTAACAGCCTCTTTATATCCACNCCCGCCTTTGTCCCAACCCCAAAATCACTCCAAATCACCAAAATATTTCTCCTCTCACAACAATCCACCCACAATGGACCCAACACGACAAGAAACCCTTCAATCCATCCGCCAAAACTGGACCATTCCCCCCACCGATCCGCACTTTATCCCGCCCTCCCTCCTCGCCGGCCTCGCGCCATCTCACCTCTCGCCCACTCTCCTTGGCGCCATCCACCGGCTCTCTACCCTAACCCTCGGCCAGCGCGAGCGTGCGTACAACCTGCTGAATACGTATTTTCAAGCGAGGATGCGGGAGAGGGGTGGTAATGCTGGTGTTGCTGGCCAGCACGACGGCGGGGTGCTTGAAGTAGGAGATGTGGAGAAGGCATGTGGGAGTGCGAGAAAGATGAGCTGCGTTGGTGTTGCGCTACAGGACAATAGTAGCAACGGAGTGTGGGGGGTTGAGAGTGGTGGTGGTGGCGGCGGCGGCTGCACGCATGTGCGGGCGTGGGATCAGCGGAGTACTACACGGGATTCGGTGGAGGATGGTGGAGAGGCGCAGGCGTCTTTGATGCAGAAACGGCGGGTGGAGCTGGCTCCGATTGTTACGGCGCAGAGTGGTGTGTCGGGTTTGACGATGGCTTCGGGAGAGGGGGAGATGGCGGTGCTGAGTAGTTTTACGCCGTTGTTTAGGAGGTTGCAGGATGAGCTTGCGGGGGGAGGTGCGAGGGAAAGCGCGAGCGTTTGTTTGGATGGGTGGGAGAGAGGGGATGGACAGCAGCGGGGGGTTGAAGTATCAGAGGGAGAGACGGATGTGAGTGCGGTACAACGTGCTATGCACGAGTTTAATGTTAGGAGGTTGGAGATGCAAGGGAAGAAGATGCAGTATGAAGATGCGGTTTGGAGGTTTGAGGAGGCGAGGTGGAGGATGGAGAGTGTGAGGGAGGGGATGAAATGAAGTGGGAATGATATCCAATATATCACCCAATGAGTGAGATCTTTGGGTTATTGAAGAGGACAGGTTGTGTCTTTACTAGCAAGCATCGATATCCTTTTCACTAGGACCAGTCTCCATCATCATCAATATCCTTGCCATGTTCTTGAGCTTCAAGGAATTCCGTCACAGTCCACTGTTTGAAAGTATGTCCTGGTACGAAATTTGAATTCTTAAATTCAGTGCCGCGGAGCAGATGGTCTGCGCAAGCTTGAAAGTTGTCATAAGCGTACTGTATAGGATCATGACGCAAAAGCCATTGCCCGGTAAATCTCCCAATGCTGTCTGGGTTCTCTTCAGCCTTGGCTAAATCGGAGGTATGAAACTTCAGGCGATCCTTGAAGCCCATCTTTTGAGCGCATGCAACACGCTCAAACTTGTTATGTTTGGTACTTTATGAAAACCTCTTAAGTAAAAAAAGAAGAAAGGATTATATGGCTTACCTTAGCTTGTTATGAACTCGAGTGGCAAGAGGTATGTCTTGCCTCCCGGCTATCTGCAGATAGGCTGCGAGCGAAAAACCATCCTCCATAGCCATACTAGCACCGCTTCCAGAACTAGGCAAGAACGTGTGTGCAGAATCACCGATCTGGACTACACGTCCCTTTGGTGAAACTCATTTTGGTTGCGGATTGCGCCACACCAACTCCCAGTCAATGCACGTATTATTTGGCGTAAATTTGACTATCTCTTTGAAGAACGGTGCCCATGTCTCCACAAATGGTAGTGCGTCAGATGCTGAGGTAGTCCACCACCAATCTTCCTTTGCATTTCCAGTGTCCTATAAACATGTCAGCATTAGGAAGGAAAAAAAACATAGGTTACTTCTTAGGGGGGAGGGTGACGTTACTTTGTGAGTTAATGCCCAGGAAATACGATCCTGCATTTTGTTATACTAACACCGTGGGCATTCGGTCCAAAATGTAGCTCCATCCTAGTTTCAGCCCCACTGAAGTGCTCCGCAATAACGGGGTTCTTCATAGCGTCGCCAGTAGGAAAGTCAGACCTGTAAATCGCATATCCTGAACTAACAGGCTTCTCAAACTTGTGGAGAATCAACTTCCATGACCTCGATCCAACACCGTCAGCTGCGACAACCATGTCTGCAGTCAATTCGCGACCGTCTGAGAGAACCACAATTCCGGCATCATCCGTCTCCATATACTCAGTGGCATGAGTTGAGTATTGAGTTTTGATCCCTAAATCTTCCGCGTATTGCTTCAGCTCGATGTGCATGCCACGTCGATTAACAGCTAGAGAGGTGAGCTCTGGAATTCCAAGCGGGAAGTTCCTCAGACACTTTCCGTTGTGCTGGAACACATGGAGTGCAGAGGGTTGTACTGTGTGTTTATGTACCTTCTCCAAAAAGCTCGGCCATGCCTGAAGGTTCTTGTGAGTTGACGCCTGGAGTACCATGGCCTCACCTATCATGCCAGTCCAGTTAGACTTGTTTACAAACAATTACTAGGATCTTAGCTTAATATGACGTATCTCTCCAATTTACTTTGGATCACCTCGTTTGAGTTTCAGTAAAATTAGAAGGAGTTTTTGGTATGAAGTAGGTTTGTCTTGAAGCTGTCGTCATGTTGTATTTTGGGCCCCAATGAATACGACAAGTGCGACGGATAAGCTGGTCAACACTCATACTCGATCATGGCTTCCAACATCCCTTCTGAACTTTCCATAGTCTATTTGAGTGGGAATCGCTAACAAGTCTAGGAGATCTGACGATCACATGATTCGAGATTCTCAGCCTTGTGTGTTCAGCCTGACGTGTTTGCCGCGTGTCTGCAATCTTGTGACGACGGCTGCAAATGGTCAGTCCTTGGACCATGGCTGCACGACTGCTTTCACCTACAGCCCGATACGAAAAGAATGACCTGCATTCCAAAGAAGAAAAATGATTTTTCCATAAAATCGAAGCAGGTTGCAAAGAATCTTGTGTGGGGTATTCAGCCTGGGTATGCCGTGTCTCTTGTCGAAATTTCCATCTACGCTCTCGTTCCGTTGTTGTCGGCTTTCGGATTCTGGATATATTGATTGACACTTCATCCTGGGGGCTGGCAGAATGCCTTGGTTCCAATGGTGACTGCAGTGACGCTTGAGACACTTCTGCTGTCGCTGCTGGTGCATAGTTCGAGGTCGCGCTTGCGGGATGAACGGCGTTAATATACCACGACACTTTGTCCATAAGAACATGTCATGTATATTTGATATCTCAACAAGAAGATCGGATATTGCGCCTTGTAATCTATTATCAAATCCCGAGTCTGAATATTCTCCATGAGAAGGCAACCTGAAAATCACATGGTACCAATAAGATGGAAACCTTCAATATCAAAACAGCTTCACGACTTGGAAATCTCTCACATATAACTTTCACGCTAACTTTAACAACTATGAGAACCAATGTAAATCTCTAAAATAACAAGCAACAGACAGAGATTCGAATCAATTCTGAGCTTGAGACATCACGTAAGGTGACGAATAGAACACATCAATTACACATAGCTCAGATAAAAGGCAGGCCAAGAGTGATAAATGTTGAAAACAAAACTCGTTTATGCAGCTCGACTGTAATTCCATCAAATCATCAATCATCAGACCTTGAGTCGTACCAACCCCAATTCCTAGACTCCTATTTCCTTGTGTAGCTATGATTGGCCTCTTATCGATTACGTTGCCAGACACGTGACTTACCATTTACATCACCACACAGATGTCTTCATGTACAATCCAGCCAGCAAACACACATAAGAGTAAGCACGGATGCCACTTAATTCTTGATTCATGATACATATCCCAACTTTTCTCTATTTTTACATTTGTTTTCCTCATTGAACCTTCATCTAACCGATGACTCTAGTTCTTGGGCTTGTAATCGGAAGGGTTGATCATGAGCTCTGGTCGGACATACTTGTCAAAGTCGGCTTCGCTAATGACCTCGAGCTTGAGGGCGGCTTCCTTTAGGGTGAGACCGTTCTTGTGGGCGTGCTTGGCGGTCTTGCTGGCGGCGTCGTAGCCGATGACGGGGTTGAGGCAGGTAACCAGCATCAGACTGGATTTGAGTTAGTATAAACGGTGGATGAAGAAGAAAAACATGGCGATGGGACTTACCTCTCGTTCATGATGGAGCTGATGCGCTGCTCGTCAGCCTCAAGACCAACAACAAGGTTCTTCTCGAAACTCCTCATGCCGTCGGCGAGGAGGCGCGAGCTGTGCAGCAGGTTGCGGATCATAACGGGCTTGAAGACGTTGAGCTCAAAGTTACCCTGGGATCCGGCAAAGGTGGTGGCAACCTGGTTGCCAAAAACCTGGGCGCAAACCATGGTCAGGGACTCGCACTGTGTGGGATTGACCTTTCCGGGCATGATGGAGGACCCGGGCTCGTTCTCGGGCAGCTTGAGCTCACCCAGACCGCAACGGGGACCGGAGCCGAGGAAACGAATGTCCTGGGCAATCTTGAAAAGTGAGGTAGCCAGGGTGTTTAACTGGCCGTGGGCCTCGACAATGGCGTCGTGGGCAGCGAGAGCCTCGAACTTGTTGGGTGCAGTGACAAAGTCCTTTCCAGTCATCTTGCTGACCTCTGCAGCAATATCCTCGGCGAATCCCTTGAATGTGTTGATTCCGGTACCAACAGCAGTTCCTCCCTGGGCGAGCATCTTGAGGCGGGGTAGAGATGACTTTATGCGCTCAATGCCAAAGTCGAGCTGTTGTACGTAGCCAGAAAACTCCTGGCCCAGAGTCAGAGGAGTGGCATCTTGCAAATGTGTCCTTCCAATCTTAATCAGAGTTTCCCACTGGTCGGACTTCTTCTTGAGTGCGTCTCGCAGACTGGTGAGGGCGGGGAGGAGCGACTCCTCGAAGTCGAGAACAGCGGCAATGTGCATGACGGTGGGGAAGGTGTCATTGGATGAGGCAGACATATTGACGTGGTCGTTGGGGTGGACAGGCTTCTTGGTGCCCATTGTGCCGCCGAGGATCTCAATGGCACGGTTGGAGATGACTTCGTTGGCGTTCATGTTGGACTGGGTGCCCGAGCCCGTCTGCCAGACGACGAGGGGGAAGTGGTCGATGAGCTTGAGCGAGGCCACCTCTTCGGCTGCTTGCTGGATGGCCTTTCCAAGCTTGGGATCTGTGGTAGGGTCAGCAGTGGACTGCAGGCGGGGGCTCGTTCAACGGGACGTACCCAGCCCAAACTTCATGTTGACCGTGGCAGCGGCGCCCTTGAGGATACCAAAGGCCCGCACAATAGGCGGGGGCATGCGGTCCTGGGGCTGGTTGATGCGGAAGTTCTCGAGGGAGCGCTCTGTCTGGGCGCCCCAGTACTTGTCTGCGGGGACCTGGATCTCGCCAAAGGCATCGCTCTCTGTTCGGGTGTTGGCCATGGCGGCGGCGCTGGCAGTGAATCGGCGGCGCTGGAAGGCAGTCTGGGGCTTGGAGAGCGAGGCTCTGGTGGTGGAGAGCGGGCGCGTAGTGCGGGCACAGCTGAAGGAGGGGTTGCTGGCCTTCGCATGTGCCAGCGAGCGCAGGGCGCCGGCCTCGGCAGCGCGGAGCTTGGTCGCGCTTCGGAACATGGTCGCAGCTGGTGGTGCTGGCGGGGGATGGAGGGGCCAATTGGTGGGGGAGGATGGATGTGGATGCTGGGAGGATGCGCAATGGACACTGGAGGCCAGCCAGAAGACGACGGAGAGACAATTGCTCGAGACAACAGGAGACTGAGCGAGACAAAAACACCGGCCAGCGCTCGAAGCTCTGGCCTCGACCTCCGCCGCGGGACTCGCCTCCGATCTGTCCCGCGGTTGGGCAGGTCACGTGACGCACCACCCGCCAAGATGCAGGCGGTAATGTGCGATGGCGAGGGCGGCACGGCGACACGGCGAGACGAGATGGTGCAAGGATTTTTGATACCTCGACCGTGACCGCTGCAGAGCCCTCTCCCCGTCGCTTCTCTTGCCTTTCCAGTTCCACTTCTTGGGCCCCAAACCCGGCGCCAACACTCTCACCATCGTCATTAGCCCGAGCCCGCCGTGCGCATGCAACTCGACGTTTGGACTCGTCTCCCGGCCCAGCCACCAATTCCACTCGTTGTCTCTGTCGCCTTCGCCAAAATGCACAGGCAAAGACAGCCGGTCTGGCCAGCCGCCGCTGCTCGAGGTAGCGATTCGCGCCCGCTGCGGGCTGCTGTGCCATAACACGACAGTTTAGCTGCCCACATGCCCTCTGCTTGCTTGCTGCTTGCTTCCTTCGGCCACCCTAGTGGAAAGTCTGCATAGTCACCGATCAAACTCCGGCATGATCGGGCACACCCTGTTGCGTGAAACCCTTCGCGCCCATGGTCCTTTTTCCGCTGAACCTCCGTACGCCGTGCCGTGCTGGGTTCCGCTCCAATGTTTTGCGGCTTATTGGTGGCCAGTAACCATTGATGCTGCCCTCCTCTCCGGACCATGTTGGAGCCGCATAGGCAAACGCACGAGTACAACAAGCAACTAGGTCGCACCGTGACGCCCCGGCTGCCTGAGCCCTGCGCCCTGCGCCTTCCGGCCTCCGACGACTGGTCATGATTAGATTAATGCAGGCGAGTCAAGTCGAGGGCACCTGATCCGTCTCCACCGTTGTTGCAATCCATGCTGGCTGCTCGCTATTGAGCGTGCCAACGTGACAGCGAGCTAATGACCCCTCACCTTCATTCACAGCCTGGTTTCCACCTTGGACAAACGATCCTGCCCGACTCTGTCGCTCCTCTAGCTATTGCCCTCTCGCACCCTTCCACCCGGTCCTCGAGCCTGCTTCACCTTTACCCCCATTCGCTCTCGTGCACCATCGGTACCACCCACGGCCGCACGCACTTGCTAAGCCGCAGATAAGGCTTCCATGACGCTGTTCGACCCTTCTGCTCTATACTCTTCTACGCAACAACTACCAGAACCGGGAGCGAGGAACCATTTCCACCTCTTCTACACCTGTTCCAACATTCTCTTTAGCCATCCCGACATTTGCCCTCCTCACTTGGCAAAGTCCCCCGCTCTCCACCCGCTGACGCCGCTTCAGCTTCAACTTTTACCCAAGGACAACCCCGTCTAACCTCCAAACAAAGCTCGTATGGCTGAACCTGACTACGGTGCCGCTTCCTGGGCCCATGTGACGACCGGCTCCGGACATCAGGGTGCAGAGTTGGCTGCCCCGCTTCTCTCTGCACATGCCCCATTTCAACAACAACTCCCGCCTCTGTACGGAGGCGTATATCTGCCCATGAGCGACCATCAAACACCCCCGAACCGCAATGCACCAGATGGACCAACCAGCAATCCGCTCCATGACCGCTCTCCGTATCCGCCTGCTGGAGTCCGCTATCCATATTACCAGGCGCAAATGTTCCCATATCAATTCACGGGTCATCCACGACCGCCACCTTCTTTCTGGAACGGAGTTGACCATGTGCATCCGGATCAGTTATTTTCTAACCCGAGTAACCCGATGCAAAATCATTTACCTAGCCAAACAGTAGGAATATCACATCCAAATAACCCATTAGCACCGGCTTTGAACGCAGGGATTCCGCCATTTATTCGACGGCGCAATGAGCACAGGATGGCAGTCGAGGCAATCTCACGGCATTCCCATGCGGGGAGCATGCGAACCCCTCACCAAGGTCATCGGGATTCAGCGCATCCGGAAGTGCGGCTGCAGAGCACTAGATCACAGCCCCACGAACACCGTCAGCCAAATGATCCAATATCTCCTGGATCAGGGCACCGCCCGTGGGCATCGCCTGGAGGCCATGGTCGCCGTTCAGACCGTAGCATCTCTCCACGAACATCAAATCGCCGGAGTTTTGAGAGGTATTCGGTTGACCTCTCACCTTCGAGCACGTCATCTGACGCAGAAGAGGCGGCTGCCAGAGCGCCACCCCCGAATCGCTTGAGGACCCGAACAAGAGACGTGCGCCCACGTTTCACGGGCTACCGCCCACATATTGATCCCAATATTGCCACCCCAAGACAGATCCAGGAACTCAAAGACGGTCTTCCGCGGCGTCTGCCAAGCGAGCTTCCCGACGATGCATCCAAGTGTTGTGACATTTGCCAAAAGGACTATTCGGCCTCGCATGTTTTGCCTACAGAAGAGGAGGAAATTGCGGTAGTCTTGTCCTGTGGACACACATTCGGAGAATTTTGTATTTTTCAATGGGTGAGTCTTGACAGTTGTAAAAGTGACGATGGTTGCTGAGTCCAAACTAGCTTGATACGTGCAAAACCCACAAAAACAAAGTTACTTGCCCAATGTGTCGGAAGCAGCTGATCGAGGCACCACGATATCTCCAAAGCATGATGCATGCCTTTCCTCGCAATGGGCAGGCATTTGTTGACCTCTTGGCTCGCGAGCAACTTCTTGCTAACGGAATACCACGTGATTTTCACAACTTGTAAAAGGATGCTAGGCAGACACAACATGTGGAGTTGGACGGCAACACGGAAAGGGCCATGTGATGTGATAGCATTAGCATATGTTGCTTCCATGTTATCGCGTTGCCAGGGCGGATAGATGTGTGGAACTATGATATCATTCTTTGGCGTGGATTGCCTGTTTGGGGCACCATGTACGGCGTTTCTGCGGGCGGGGTATGGTGTTTCTCCGGGTAGGTTGACTTTATTGCAAGGTTGGAATTCTGGATATGCGAGGCATGGTTCTTGAAGGGATCTGTACATAATATACGGCGAGAAATAAAGACGGCGACAGCACACTTGATACACTACTAAAAATGGCAATCTTGACCCATGACGGCGATCGGAGAAGGAGGTTCCACATGCCAGGGAGCCTGGATTTCATCGTTGCCCGGAGCAGACTTAGCCCAAAACACGCACCCCACCATCAACACGAAGCTGAGCGCCAGCCGCCTGCATTTGTTTTGTCGCAGGCTCTGCAAGGTACCGACGCCTGGTGTATACATACATACAAGTAGGCGATTGTTTGCGCATACACTGCAGATTCGACGCTGGCCTGCTCCTTCTTGTTCTCTGTCGTTGCGACGACAGCCCCCACCTGCGCAACTGCAACTACCCCCTTCTCCGTCGCTATCGGGCACTAGACGAGCATGCAAGACAACGACAACGTCAACAACAGAGACGGAGACGGTTTTCAGCTACCCGCCCTTCCGCCGCTACTTCACACCCGTGGCAAGAGTATGGACCGTCCAGGCACGCCGGCCGAGGCCTTCATCAGCCCGCAGCAGACGCCTCAGGGCAGCCCAAGTAAACACCACCAGCCGCCCGGCGCATTTGATCTGCCCCATGTCTTCGAGAATGCCATGAGGCTACTTCCCACCATCAGCTCTCCCAGAGCGAAGCCGACATCGCCAACATCGCCCAACAAGTTGAAATTGGGCAGCGGCGGCGAGGACGGAGACTATGCGGGGCCAGACTCGACCACTGTCGCATCGGGCTCTCCAACGCGCAGGACAAACCAAGAAAACGCACCCCCCGGTGGACGCTCTGCTATACAAAAAGACAACGGTCACATGACACATGCAGCACAGTCGCGGCAGGAACCCTACCGGACGCGCGAGGCAGAGCAGTCAACACGGTACTTGAATGGTCCGCAGCGCCTCTCTGCCGAAGATATGGAGAAGGCGAGGAAGCCAGCAGTAAAGCGTCTCGCAAATGTCACTCAACTATGTAGGCCTGCCATCTTCTCGGATCGCAGCAGCACTAACCAGCCGTGCAGACTTCCTCGACTACTACTACGACCTCCTCACCTACGTACATACCCGCCAAAACCGTCTCTCTCAGTTCAAAGCACAGAACCCTCTTCCACCTGAGACGCCCGAAGAAGAGTACAACAGTGCTCTTACACAGTATCTTGGTCGCGAACGTGCCAACCTCCGCAAGCGACGCACTCGATTGAGGCAGGGCGACTTCCAGATTCTCACCCAAGTTGGCCAAGGTGGTTATGGACAGGTGTACTTGGCTCAGAAAAAGGACACCCGTGAAGTCTGTGCCCTCAAAGTCATGAGCAAGAAGTTGCTGTTTAAACTGGACGAGGTCCGCCATGTCCTGACGGAGCGTGACATTTTGACCACTGCTAAGAGCGAGTGGTTGGTACGATTGCTTTATGCGTTCCAGGACGACAAAAGCATCTATCTTGCCATGGTGAGTGATAGTGTTGAAGAAGTATGACCATGGGCTAATGTTAGTAAAGGAATATGTTCCTGGAGGTGATTTTCGAACCCTGCTGAACAACACGGGCGTTCTACATAACCGCCATGCGCGCTTCTACATTGCTGAGATGTTCACATGTATCGACTCGCTGCACCAGCTGGGCTACATTCACCGAGACCTGAAGCCCGAAAACTTTCTGATTGACAGCACCGGACACGTTAAACTAACCGACTTTGGTCTTGCTGCAGGTATTCTTGCTCCCTCCAAAATCGAATCGATGCGTATCAAGCTGGAGTCTGTGAGCGATGTTGTTTCACCATTTGGCCGGCCTATAGAAGAGCGTTCTGCAGCGCAGAGGAGAGACAATTATCGCTCGCTGAGAGAGAGAGACGTCAACTACGCAAAGAGTATTGTAGGCAGTCCCGACTATATGGCGCCTGAAGTACTCAAGGGCGAGGAATATGATTTCACTGTTGACTACTGGAGCCTGGGATGCATGCTCTTTGAAGCATTGGCCGGATACCCACCTTTTGCTGGCGCTACAGTTGATGAGACGTGGCAGAACTTGAAGCAGTGGAAGAAGGTATTGCGAAAGCCCGTATACGAAGACCCTTCGTACTTCTTGTCCAAGCGCACTTGGGACCTCATCGTGCGTCTCGTAGCGTCCAAGTCGTCTCGATTCCGCAACATATCCGAAATTCACGCGCATCAATACTTTGCTGAAGTAGACTGGGCAAAGTTGAGAGAACAAAAGGCACCGTTTGTACCAGAGTTGGACAGCGAGACCGACGCTGGATACTTTGACGACTTTGGCAACGAAGCCGACATGGCCAAGTATAAGGAGGTGCACGAGAAGCAGGCTGCTTTGGAAGCAATGCAAGACCGCAATGTGCAAATGGGCAAGGGTCTCTTCGTCGGATGTGAGTATTGGTACAAACACGGGCTATGTCGTCTCGCTAATATGACTATAGTCACCTTCCGCCACAAGAAGCAAGCCGAAGAAAACGGCAAGCCATCAACCCCCCGGAAACCACTTCCTATGGTTGACGAGAATTTTGATACCATTTTCTAGAGGCATTGTCCTCGTTTAGCACGCCGTGGCACTGGTTGCGACGGCGCTTTTGTGCGTTTAGTGGGTTATGGGTATCTTTTGAAGCACCTGGCACTTGTCAATCTGTGACGAGCAACAAGGTGAATGCATATAAGGAAAGCTTTCATGACTTGGCCATGACAGCATGGAATAGTTTAGATTCGGCGTTTGTTGCGAGCCATGCATATTCATCTTGGCAGTCAATTGTGCGGTATGCATTTGGGGAATCGTGTATTAGTAGTCAAGGAATGCACGAGTACTGTGACTGTTTGTAGTGTTTGTCTCCGGGTTGCTTCGCCGCTTGTTTGCACAGCTATTACCCGACCGAACACGCTCTCACGTGATAGCGCTTCGCGGTTCAACGTAGTATGCACGCGAGACGCTACGCTAACCGGCAATCCCCGTTCATCCATCATTCCCCTCTCTTGAGGCAGCGCACTGGACAATCAACCCCCACCAACACGCATACGCCGCGACTATGCCCGGTCTAGTCCGAAGAGGGCGGAAACGTCCATCGCTGGCCGTCAGCGAGCAAGTCGACGAGCAGTCCGACGAAGACTCCTCTACGTCGAGCAGCAAACGCGCCCGCCATGACCGGGACGCGTCCGACAGCCCTTCCCCAAGCACGTACACGCAAAACGATGATGCAGACGCAACGAGCGCATACGTCCAGGATGACTTCCAGCCAGGCTCTCTTGTCAGGGTAAAGCTGAAGAACTTTGTCACATACACAGCTGCCGAATTTCATCTGGGCCCCAGTTTGAACATGGTCATTGGTCCAAACGGAACAGGAAAGAGTACGCTTGTGTGCGCGATATGCCTGGGTCTTGGATGGGGTAGCGAACATCTGGGAAGAGCCAAGGACTTGGGGGCTTTTGTCAAACATGGTGCTAGCGAAGCCATTGTTGAAATCGAGCTTGCAACAGGCCCAGGCAATGGTCCGAATCGCATTGTCCAACGTACCATTCGCAAAGAAGACAACAAGTCTGTGTTTTTTCTCGATGGCAAGCGCGTTTCCCAAGGCGCTGTAACAACCATGGCCAAACAATTCTCTATACAGATTGATAACCTTTGTCAATTCTTGCCTCAAGACCGTGTCGTCGAGTTTGCCAAAATGACCGATGTCGACCGCCTACGAGAGACTCAGCGTGCAGCGGCGCCCCCGCACATGGTTGAGTGGCATGACGAACTCAAGGCCTTGCGTATTGAAGAACGAAATGTCCAGACAAAAGAAACCAACGAGCGCAATTATTTGGAGAAGTTGGAAAAACAGCAAAATGCAACCAGAGAAGATGTCGAACGATTCCATCAACGCGAGGGCTTGTTGCGCAAATCAAAATGTCTGAAGAAGGTTAGGCCTATGATTGAGATCAAGTTGCTCAAAAACGACATATTGAAAATGAAGGAAGACAAGAGGCTGGCTATGTTAGAGCTGGATCAGATCAAGGAAGACATGGAACCAGCGCGTATAGCCTTGTCAGAAGTGGAAACATATCGTAATCAGATTGAGCAAGTTGTGAAGCTCCGCAAGAACCGTGTCGACTTGATTAAGACACAAGCCGACAAGCTCGCGAAAGATATCGATACGGAAAAGGCCAAAGCCAGCGACTCCACTGAGTTGATCAAGGTCGAGCTGAGAGCTAAAAAATTGCGTGAGCAGGATATTGTCCGCATTACGGCTGATATCAACAGGCTAGAACAAAAACGACAGAATACGGCTGTGGAATATGATGCTGCATCTTTTGAAGGTCGCAAAGCAGAAGTTCGAGGTCAAATTTCCACCATCAGCAACAGCATAACGGATAAGCAAAATTCGGCGTTGGGTCTACGCGAACGCGCGCGTGCAATTGCAGACGAGAACACAAAGCTGAGCACACAGCGAGAGCAGTTAAACACCCAAAGTGGCAAACAGGCAAGCCTTCTACAGAGACTCTCTCCCGACACTGCGAAAGCTTGGAAATGGATTCAGGAAAACAAGCACACTCTAAATTTTAAGGGTGAAGTCATTGGTCCGCCAATTCTGGAATGCTCCATTCCAGATTCCAGATATGCTCAAGCTCTAGAAGGCCAGCTGAGGAAAGGCGATGTCATTGCAATCACTTGTACACATAGCGATGACCAGCAGTTACTGTCGAACCTCCTCATTAGAAAGGTTACCAATGGGGGCCAAGGGCTGCACGACGTCCATCTTCGGACGTCCCCCAAGCCTCTTGATTCATACAAACCACCCGTCATGAAAGAGGACCTGGAAAAATTTGGCTTTCGAGGCTACATGCTCGACTTCATTCAAGGACCTACCGCTGTTTTGGCCATGCTTTGCGACAACAACCGCCTGCATCAGATAGCCTATTCCCCGACCCCAATATCAGATGAGCAGCACGCTGCTGTATCGAACAGCCCTATCCGCACCTGGGTCAGTGGTACGGAGACCTTTCGCATCGTCACGCGCAGAGAGTACAACGCGTCCTCAACATCCGTCACAAAACTTAGGCCTGCCCAATGGTTTACGGACCAACCAACTAACACAGAAGAGGTTCGGGCGATTGAAACAAGAATAACAGAACTGGTGCAAGAGAAAGAAGAGATCCAGGAAAATTACGCAATTGTAACGAGAGAAATGAAGAGCCTCAAACAACAACTCGAGGAGCTCAAGGAGGCGAGGGTATTAACTATTCTACAATGTGTCAATGTTCATTTCTGACAATGCACCAGGAAGCGATACAAACAGAGCAAGACGCTACGAAAAAGGCTCTAGCCGAGTGGCAGGCTATCCCTGATAAGATCGGTAGGTTTGCCTTTGTAAATCAACAGGGTCGTCTGCTGATGCCCCATAGCTTCCAAACAAGCCCAATTGGACGATCATAAGCAGCAAAATGCAGAAACGAATGAGCGCATCCGTGAAATTAAAGCACAAGCTCGCGAAACATCATTACGCGCAGCGGCACTAGCTCTAGATTATGCTGTACGTAGTAACTATCTTGATCGTCATACTCTACTGACAGTCATGTAGAAAGCTGTGACACATATGCGCACGTTTCATGAATCGCTCATTGAAGCCGATATTCGATTGATAGAAGCCAAGTCAGAACTCAATGCATTGAGAAATGAAAACAGTGCAATAATCCAAAGACAGCAGACGAAAGAAACCGAGGTCCAAGAACTTGGCAATCGCATCAAACGTCTTCGCGACGAGTACACAAAGAAGACAGCAGCTACCCAACAAGACATTGAAACCTTGACCGAAGAGGAGAAGCAGATTGTTTTGGAGTATCGCGAGCTCCCTTCATTTGACGACCTCGAGCAGGAAGTTCAAGCCGTCGCTGCACGGCTGGAGATGATGGCTGAAGGCAATCCTGGTGCTATCAGAGCTTACGAGAAGCGCGAAGAGGACATGAACAGAACGCGAGAGAAGCTAGAGCAGTATACGGCTAGCCTCGGTGAGATCAGGGAAAAGATTACAGAGATTCGCGAACAATGGGAGCCACAGCTTGATGTTCTCATCAGCAAGATAAGTAATGCCTTTGCATACAACTTCCAGCAGATTGGGTGTGCTGGCGAAGTCGCTGTGTTCAAGGATGAGGAGGACTTTGATAATTGGTCTGTTCAGATCTCAGTCCGCTTCCGGTATGCCTCAGTCATTTCATTTACATGCACGTATAGCTGACATACGCCAACAGTGAAAACGAACCCCTCAGTGTTCTCAATTCTCACCGCCAATCTGGTGGCGAGCGCGCTGTCTCCACCATTTTCTACCTGATGGCTCTCCAGGATCTCGCCCAGTCGCCTTTCCGCGTTGTCGACGAGATCAATCAAGGTATGGACCCACGTAATGAACGAATGGTGCATGAGCGCATGGTAGATATTGCCTGCCAAGAGCGTACAAGCCAATATTTCCTTATCACTCCAAAACTCTTGACTGGCCTAAAATTCCATCCCAAGATGAAGGTTCATGTCATCAATTCTGGAGAACATATTCCTGACTCGAAGACTGTCAAAGGGGGTTGGGATCTGAATGATATGGCCAAAATCGCGCTGAGGACAAGGAAGGGTATTATGGTTACTTGATTGAGGATGATTGCTAGTGTGAGCACTAAGCAGATCGGCTTCGCTTCATTCTTCTATCTCTTCCTGCGTTTGCTTCCATCAAGGCCAAGATGTATCACGTCGCATCAATGCTCTCACTGCGCCGCAGTTCTAGCCATGAATCTGCCACAACTCAGACTTCCAAGGAATACGCCTCCGAGCACCGACATGAAGTATCCAACATTCATCGTCATGACAGCTATCATGCTGGGTGATGTGTTAATATGCGGATCTTGCAATAACATCGGTTTCGCGAAGCAAGAGAGAACGTAGAAGCAAGAGGAAGGACTTACAGCAGATACGACACCCCGGCAAGAACCACATCGAGACTTGCAATCCAAACCGCCTCATCGGCTCTCCAGCGTCTCTCTTCCAGTCTTGCTTTATGCTCAATATCTGGTTGTCCCTTCGCTTGTGCTAGTAACGTGAACAAGTTGAAACGGACAGCAATCAAGGCGCGGAACAGGGCTGCAAGTGCAATAAGGAATATACACGTTCCTGTGTATTGGCCTGGAGTGGTGGGGGTCCAGGATGCGGAAAAGAGAGACGTGGTGGTTGAAGTGAAAAAGGTCATGGACATGGTGGACATGTTCATTCCCGACATTGTGGCGTTGGAGTCAGTGGACATTGTTGGCATTGGCATGTTCATGTTGGTAGCCGCTCGTATGGTTCTTCTGCAAACTTCTTTAGCGTTTGATTGAGATGTTCGAGGTGGTGTGTAGGTAAATTAGCAGATGAAGCAAAAAATATTACTATCCGAACAAGCTGTTGCTCGTCAGATAACCTTGTTGCGCTAGTTTATGACAGAGAAGTCGTTGTCGAGACCGCCCAAGCCCACTGATATACCCGCACACCATCTTGCCAAAATGGACAAGCACGAAAATAATCCTCTCTTCCTTCCATTTGCATCCCAGTTCCAGGCCCCTCCTCCCTCCCTCGATACTCACGCACGCACACGCGTCACCCCACCCATCTAACACGGACCGAACAACGCGCGCTAAGAAAACTTGCTCAATCGTGCTCGTATGTACGCTTAGTTACCCCGCCCTCATTGGACCACCAGCCAAAAGATAGTATACACATCCTAGTAAAAGAACGCAGAACTAAGCATATGCAAGCACCGCACCAAGCTTTTGATAAGCTTATTTGCCGCGTTCGTGACTCGTGTGGCTTGGACTATATGGTTGCATGGGTTGTATAGCGTTGGGAGAGGGCGGGGGTTGGTGGAGCAAGGGTTAGGAGGTTTACATAGACTTTCACCCGGCAAACCTGGGAACTGAAAGTCTTGAACTCTCTACTATTTTTGTTTGTCCAAGTTGCTCCATGAGGGTTTGACGTATCTATTCATCCTCTGAGACTTTCTTGTTGTGTATTTATCTGAATTTCAGAGGAAGAAGAGGAAGACGAGGAAGACGAGACGATGAGTGAAGCTTGGATCTCAGTCTCCCCTGGTATCTCAGGCATGCGCATGTTTGAGTGCGGAACGAAGACTGCAGAGGAGTGTGCGTGGTATAAGCATCGGTGGCACTTTTGGTATGTAGCGGACTATGTGTTTGCGCAGCCGACTGTTGCGTTTTTTATGAGTGGGATTGGGGTGTTCGTTATTGCACATTTGGTCTCGTCGTTAATTCTGCGGCGGAAGGGTGTAGGCCGGGTGGGGTTGGCGAAGAAGGTATTGGCGGGATCGAGGTATTTGGCGTATCGGGGGTTCCATGTTAGGCGGTTGAAGTGGAATTCTGCGCCGGTTGGAGTTTTGTTGCTTGGTGCGGCTGGTGCGGTGTTCTTTTTTTGTGAGTTCTTCTTTTGAATCATACTGCTTGTGGATCGTGTACTGACTTTGGAAATAGGTATGGATCTGATCCCGCAACCGTATTATTGGGCTAGCAAGAAGTTTGGTAATTCACCGCCGTTGGCTACACGATCTGGATGGCTGGCACTAGGATGCATGCCTTTCCTCTTGTATGTTCGGTCGCTTTCATGGTAGGACGAATGCTGTTTACTAACTGTCCTCAGTGCTACGGCGAGCAAAACAAATTGGATTACACTGGTCACTGGTGTGTCGTATGAACGGCTCCAAGTATTTCACCGATGGATTGCGTACGCGTTTTTCGTTCTGGCGCTGATACACACATTTCCCTTTATCGTGTATCATGTTCATTGGCACGATATGGAGCACCATTTTTCGAGCAACCTTCTATTCTACTGGACGGGGATAGTAGCACTTGTATTTCAAGCGTGGCTAACCTTTATGTCGCATAGTGTCTTTCGGTTAGTATTTCTCCCATGAGCTCGAGTTTCGCACGTAACTAATCAACCACCCAGAAACCGCGGATACGAATTCTTCAAGGCAACTCACTTCTTTGCCGCTGTCGTCTTCATGATAACCTTCTTCTGGCATTGTGATCAAACGCTAACAAGTTGGGACTATTTTGTTGCCACGGCTGCCATATACGTCCCTTGCTACGTATACCCGTGGCTTCGCACGGTGTTCGAATACAAATGGACTCAGCGAGCGCAGGTCACAGTTGAAGATAACGGTTTTATACGCGTTGCCATTCCGGCGACGTTCCACTGGACTCCGGGCCAACATTGCTTCTTACGCTTTACGAGTTTTGGTTTCCTCTCTACCCTGACTGCTCATCCATTTACCATTTGTTCTACGCCTGTCAAAACATTAGCGGAGTCTAATGAACTGGTGTTCTATGTTCGCCGTCAGGGTGGATTCACAGATAAACTATATCAACATGCGTTTGCCAACCCCGATGGCGCTGTCCCGGTTCTTGTGGACGGGCCTTATGGTGGTGCTAGTTGGCTCAAACTGCGTAATGCAGACCGTCTTCTAGTTGTTGCGGGTGGATCTGGTGCCGGCTGGACATTGCCATTTGTTGAATATTTTCTTCAATCAGTTGCAAACTCCATCGACGAATCAGCACCTCGTACATCCTACTCGACCTCAACATCACTACGCGTTGTACTTGCGACCCGCGATACCAAGAGCCTTTCGTGGTTTGAGAAAACACTGCAAGTCATGTTTTCACAATATCCAACTGAAGTCTTGTCATCCGTCCAAATCGAGGTCCACTTCACTGGTGAAGTGGCAAATCAAGCTGACATCCTGTCAAAAATAGTACAGCCATCAACCCACTCAGTGCCATCTGAAGCGTCGAATGACATCGTCTTTAGTACCGAGAAAGAAGGCGAAACAATTGTATCAGGCAAAGAACATACGGGCCGACCACAACTACCGCTCATCGTGCAGGAAGAGGCAGAGAAAGCAGCGGAAGCAGATGAGACGCTGAACGTGTATATCTGCGGGCCGAAGACGATGCAGAACGATGTGAGAAATGCCGTTGCAGCCGAGAACCTAAAGATCATGACAGGTGCAAGGAGCGGGGGCGTGTATTTACATACTGAGCACTTTTCATGGGCATAGATGCAATATTCGCACACGCCTGCTTCTTATTACAATTCATCTCGCTAATTAAAGATGTATTACATCCTCTTCCATCACATCCATACCACCTTCCACCTTCCACCTACCCTCGCCGACCCTATCTCTCACTCGTTCCTTCCCGAAAAGTCCTTGCCTCTCTACCCCTCTCTCCTCGACAAACTCATCCCACTCCTCGCATTCCTTCCACCACCCCACTCATCCCCATCACTATCGTCTTCCTCTTCCTCTGCATCCTGCTGTCTCTCCTCCCTCGGCTCCCTCGCCTCTCTCGCCTCTCCCTCAACAACAATCTCCACCCGACTCTCCAATACCGCATTCTTCTTGCTGCTCCCCTCTCTACCCAACTCTACGTCTCCGCCAGCGTTTCCTTGGCGCCGCGCACGCGCGAGACGGCGTTGGCGGCCGAAATATGTGAGCTCGAGGAGGAGAAGGCAGAGCAGGATGAAGACTATGATGCAGGCGGTTATTATACCGGTTTTTGCGCCGGAGCTGAGGGGGGGTTTGGAGTGTGAGGACGGAGGGGGGGTGGAGGGGGTTGAGGTTAGTTTTTGGGAGGTCTAGGTGAAGTGTTAGATGAAGGACTTTGTACTGCGGAATTTTTTTTTGGTGAAGGGGTTCTCCATGGCAAAGGATGATGGGGTTGTCTACCTTGAATTCCGTTTCAACATGGCTGTTGTATTGTTGTGTGGGTTGATTTGGGTCGCTTCTGACAAGGAACATGGTTTTAGATAGTACGACTGATTCATCCAGCAAATTTATTTGTTTTGGCTTTTACAATGATGGAGAATGTTGGATAGACGTGGAGTGACACTTGATCAGGTAAAGAAGAGGAGAAGGGATAGAGTTCCCTATCTCCTGATATCCCACTCAATACACAAATAAATCCTAAAATCCTCTCACTGCATGAACAGCTTGCCGCAGTGCTACCTGCGGTATCACTTTACGCCACTCCATCTCCATCGCAACTGTCACTGCAACCAAGGAAACCCAAAAAATTGGGAGAGATACAAACTCCGAGAATTTGTGAAAGAGAATACAGAGCGAGAAAAAAAATAAAGACAAAAAATGTAGAGCTGACTATGTAGACGTAAGACTGAAATAAGAAAAGCAGCAAAACCACGCTAGAAGAGCATGGAAGCAAGTTGTCACGTATACCTTTTGTAACTGCTTGCCCCCCCCCCCTTCCCACTATTATCGTGTCTGCTCCTCCCATTGTCGTTTGTTGGACAGAAAGCAAGGAAAAAGAATAATGCCGTGCATGCGAATGAAACAACGCCTCTTTTCGCCCCCCACGTAGCACACCGCGCGGCGCCGCGAACAACGCTGCCGTGTAACAGCCAGAGCAAGGAGAAGGGGGTAGCGACGAAAACGAGTGAGGTAAATAAACAAACAGTGTATAGAACGTGACTCAATGGACCATCCCAGAAAAGGTATGTATGCATGTATGTACAACAAAAAATTAATAATCCATGACTTTCATCATGATTTATGTTCAAGTTGACCAAGTCAAAAAGTATTTACAAAAGTTTCCCCCTTTCTCATCCATCATAAATCATTCTAAGCATCGCGGAGCATGCTAGTAACACCAGCCCAAGTCTCCAAAACAGTGGGACGAATCTGGTTGGCAGGGAGCGAGAAGCCGTATGTACCGGTATCCCTCAGCTCATAAGTGTACGAGTAGGTAGCATTACCCTCGACATCGGTGTAATCAGTGGAAGAGCCAGTGGTGGCGTAGAGAGTAGAGCAGCTGGGGCCAATGGTGTATGCAGTTCCTGAGACAGCACGGATGGCTGATTGAGCGCGGGATGCGAGACTGCGGAGCTGGGCGTCGTTTTCGGGGCGGAGACTGCAGTCGTAGCCGTAGGGCCAGAGGATGTATTGGCCGTAGGAGCTAAGGGTAGGGTGGTTAGCTTTGGCTTGATTTGGCAAAGGGGAGAAGGGGATGCAAGGGGGACATACTGCACGTCGAGGTAGAGGCTGATTCCGCGCGTTCCCTTCAGAGCATCGACTTGGGCTTTGATGGCCCTGAGCTCGGGGGCGTCTCCAGCGGCCTGACCCTTGTAGGTCTCCGAGCAAGGGTTGGTGGAGGCTCCGCCAGTTACCTCCCACTTGTATGGCCAGTTGCCTTTGATAAAATGTTAGCATGTTAATCATACAATAATTTCTATGGTCCCTTACGGTTGATATCGCGGCCAACACACGAGCTGGTGCTGACAGTCTGACGGTTCTTGCGCCAGAGACGGTCCGTGGTCTGCGAGTAGACGAATCCGTCGGGGTTGACGATGGGGGTGATGTAAAAGTCGAACTTGTCGACGAGAGCCTTGACGCTTGAGTCGGAGGCGTACTTGGTTAGAAGTTGCCACGCGAAGTACCTGAGGTGGAGATTAGCTTGTTTTTTTTCAATAATAATCTCATAGCAGGGTGGCTTACTCAGTGGTCATGGAAGTGATCCACTCTCGGGCGTGAACGTTTCCGTGGATAATAACGGCAGGCTTGGATCCCTTGCCGCCGCTGCCCCAGATATGGATACCAGTCAAGGTACGTCCTTGGACTGAGTTACCAAGGGTGACAATCTCGGAATTGCTAGTGTAGCCGGCTTGCAGATCGCGGAGGAATTGAAGATGATCGGCATATGGGTGGTATGCTGTGAACCACGACTCGCTGGGAACTATATTCGGTGAGTGTGTAACCTCGAAGATATTGAGCCAATTACAAACCAGCGTAGATTCCCATCTCGCCTTCTTCCTTGAGGGCAGCACCAACATCCTCATTGATGACCTTGCTCTCGGAAGCCAACGCAGTCAATGCCGCAACGTTTTCGGGTGCAACAACTACATCCATCTCGGCAGACTTGCCAGGGTTGAGGATGTGGGCAGCCAAGTTCTCGATTTGACTCTTGACAGCGTCGGTGCTAGAAACGCGCAGGACCTTGAAGCCATTGTAATCGACCTTCTTGCCAGCGGTTGGGACAGCGCTGCCCAAGGCAGTGGAGCCAAGGAGAAGGGCGGAGGTAAAGATAGTAGTCTTCATGATGAGAGATGGAGACACTGACTCTGTAGAAGCAAGGTGCAACGTAATACAGGCCGTGGGGAGCGCTGCTTTTTATGCTTCTCCATAGTCATACCTAGTTACGATCTACCTTCCTGTCAAGTAGCATGGCCGACATGTCCCTGTCTCTTAATCGAAATTGTATGGAATAGGCAGGTACCCCAGTTTCGTGGTAGTCGTCTGCACGAACGGGAGATGTGCACTCGAATAAGAAGACCAAGATAGGCCTTACAAGCGCGGGAGATGGTCATTCGAAGGAGGTCGGAGTAAACGCCTGGGCCATGGATGGAGGATTAATTTATGGAATCACTTGGCGCGCTGGAGGAGAGACGTGGGCGCGAACAAGATGATTGGTCCGGAGTCGTATGTGCTTACCGGGTTAGGCAGGTGTAGGGCCCGGAATTCTCGGAGAGCATGATGGCTGGTCTTGGCTATGCGATAGGGCAAATCAAGGTGTGCGTAGCTGGAAGACGTGATCTTGTCGTGATGGGCAACTAGTCGACCCGATGCAGTGTAGCAAGGGCATAGCTGGTTCGAAGCGATGAGCTGAAACGGGAAGGAGATCATTGGAAGGCGGCCGCCAAGTGGTAGACAGGCATGCACATTATAACTAGCCTGGTTGAAAGCGACAGGTGCCGACGACCGACATGTCTGACGTTTACTCCTCCTAAGAAGGCACACCCAGTTCCCTGAGCACGTTTGCACAACCAATTCTAAGCCATTCGTCGACTTGTTCCTGGCTCGTCACCCAGACACTCCCTAGCATACCCCCCGTATTCGCACTTGCACCCTCTGTGCTGCCACTCCGACGCGGAATAACGATTAGGCAGTCAGCCCACATGGCGACATTATGCGGAGGTGCATTTTCTTCTTTGGTATCGGGCGCTGACTGGCACTGGGCGAGGAGTGTGGTGTAGACAGACAGAACAGCTGAGGCTGAGGTATTTTTGAACCCCTCTTCGAAGCGATGAACAAAGTACCGAAAAGGGACTTTGTTTTCTTTTTCGCAGACGGCTGAAATGAGGTAGTCGAAAGCATGCGGCGGCCCCTTTAAGCCTTGGAGATGCTTGTGCACCCTGCTGCAGCCACCCTTTTCACCACAGTTGAAAATGACATACATGCTTGGGAATTGACGCAATACTTGAAGCATGACGACAAAGTCATCCGTATCTAAAGCTTCATGCTGACGCTTGTATGAGTCTAGCGTTAGCATGAGGAGTTGTGGTCTGTCGACACAAAACAGGTTTAGCGCCAAGTCATGCGTCTTGTTCAGCTGAGTGATGATAAGTCGCTCGTCAGGGCAGAACATGTCGCTGCCTGGTCCCCATCTCCGCGACTTATTGAAGCCATGGTTTGTGGCGCCGACTGTATGTGGTTTTGTAGCTAGTGCTGGGCAGATGCGGAACTCGAGCTGAGCAGTCATGAGCGAAGCGCCTGGCTTGTGGTTGTATACCTGCGCACCGGATAGCCGTCATCCTCCACTGACACAATTTTGTGAGGACCGAATACAATGGCGCCCTCACTGGCGAGTTTGTCAAACGTTTCCACAAGGCCTGCTTCCGAGTAATCTGCCATGTTGCAAATGTGGAAGTGCCTGAAAAGCTGATGACTCGGAGATTGTCGGTGAGCTCAAGTAAGATGACAGGTACGAGGCATAGCCGGCCCGTGCACGCTGCAGATTTAGTGAGTCCATGGTAAGTAATTACAACCACGGAAAGAGACACCACCACCAAAAATACGAAAAAGCGTTCAAAAAATGGACTATGTATAGCATTTTCCAGCTAGATAATCCAAAGCGAGACATATCCTGCACTAGAAGAGCCTCCCTCGGCGAGTGAGAAAGAACAAAAAGTCGCCCGAGTAGAAAAGAAAGAAACTTGAAAAAAAAAGCCTCTGTTAATTATAAAAGTTATGCCCCTGTCCGAGATGCAGACTCGTAATTGCAGAGGCCAAAGTGTATGATGAAGGTGGACGCAGTGCCTGGGTATCGTGGTATCATCATCAAATGGAGTGTAGCTATGCGGCCTCGGGTTTAGCAGGAGATGGCCTCTCTACGAGGACATAGTCAGCGCTGGTGGTCGATGAAGGGGTCGGTATTTGTGGAATCGCACCTGGCATGTTTGGCGTCTTTTGCGCAAGAGGGCTCTCGGGCGCCTGTGGTTGTGCCTCGTCTTTCTGGGTAGTTTGCTGGGTGCAGCTCTTGGCTGGTGGGGAGTTGCCCTTTGCCTGGTTGAGACGCTCTTCGGCAGCGCGCAGTCTTGCTTCGAGGGCCTCGAGTTCCTTGGTCTGGGTGCTGACAGCTGCCTTCCTGGGCGGGGGTCAGTGGGCTGCCTGCGATGGCGAGAGAGAAAGGAGGGTTTACTTTTCATGCACTGTCCGGTCGAGGTCCTCGATGCCGCCATCCAACTTGAACAGGCTGTCGAGCTCGGTCATGAAGTTGCGCGCTATGGTGCTGCAGGCATGATCAGAATAGGCGGGGAGCTATGCTAGCGCCGGGGGAGCTCACGATTGAGGACGTTTGTTCGGCTTCCAGCCATGGTCGGGATCGTCCATGGGGGCGGGCTGTGCAGAGTATGAGGAAGCCATGATGAGCAGTAGGCGGACGGCGTGTAGTATGCGCGGTGCGGGAGCGGCTCTGGAGAAGGTCGGGGCTGACGAGGGAACGAGGGGATGTATTTATGGGCTAGTGCAAGGGGAGGGTGGTAGTAGAACAAGCAGGCAAAGGGCTCAATCGTCAGACTTGTTTCATGCAGCGCTGGCGGGCCTGGCAGAGGAGAAAGAAAGCATAATATGACACCCCTGGAATAGAGACCGCAGGGCGATTGCAATGTAAGTATGTAGGGAAATAGGGGACGCCCATGCTCCGGACTAATTGGGGGGCGTAGATCAGTAGTGGAGCTTGGGAACGAGGGCTTGAAGATGCGCCGCCGCGCCCGAGCCCGACGAAGGAAACAAGAAGCAACAAGAAGCCAGCGACGGCGCGCGTGGGAAGCAGTTGGCGCAAGAACCGTTTGCTCGCGCCGCAGACGCAGACGCGGATGATGACGGTTGAGATACGGGGAGGATGGCAGGCTGCACGTCACGCGCCTGGCGGCAGGCCGGCGTGCGCCACAGTGTGGCAGTCGCCGTCGAAGCCCCGCGCCCTGCGCCCGCGCGCCGCCACACGGCGAGGCTGGAGCGGTGGTGTGGCGGTGGACGCGTGTGATTGGGTGTCGGCTGGGCTGGCCTGGGCTGGGCGGCTGCTGCTGCTGTCGTGCGAGAGGCAGCGCCGACGAAGCTCTTGCGAAGAATAATTTCCTCATCAAACCAACCGCCCAGCCCATCTGCCTCTGCCTCCGCCTCGCCGCCCGACGCGCCCATCGCCCTCCGCCGCCCCCCAGTCGCGTGCAATGCCCGTCTGCCTCCGCTAGACGCCCTCTTCCTCGTCCCTCGTCGCCGTGGCTCCCATCCCGCCCCACGCCCATCGCCCTCGCGCTGCAGACGCCTGGGGGATGACGACTAGCGTCTCTGCCTACACCAACCTCGAGTCGCTCCTGCTGTTCCAGTGCCTCCATGCCTATGGCGTCGGCCCCGCTGTCTTCGTCCGCATCTCCGACCTGCTGAAGAAGAACCCGGACATCACCACCCACAAGTACTTCCAGGCCGGCCGCCTCAGTCCCGATGCCCTGCGCAACTTCTACCTCGAGCGCCTGAAGAGAGAGCTCGAGCATGAGCAAGCCGCCGACTCCGACTCGCACAACGGCGATGTCGCCAGCCCGACCAAGCGAAAGAGACAGAGCCCGAGCCTGCCCACCGTCCAGGAATCCCTCCAGCACCAGCACTTGATCCCCAAGCTCGTCACCAAGCTCTATGCCTCGTACCGCTACGAGATTGCCGAACAGATCAGGGCCGAGGAGGACAGATACGAGCGACTGCAGCGCGAACTGAAGAGCATCGACCGCGGAGAGTGGGACGACCAACTGAGGGACAAGGCCAACGGACAAACATCTGCCTTGCCCCGGAAGTCGCCTCATCTGGCACAGAAGCCTTTGCAGCCGAGCCAAAGCCCCCAGCCCGCTCAGAATGGTGCGCGACGCGGTCCTTCCATCGCGCCTTCGCCAGATTCCACCCAGCCGTCTGTTCTCGAGTCTCCGCGACCTGCGCCTGCTCAAAACGGACAGCAATCGCCGTCTCAGTCCAAGAGGCAGCCTTCTACGCCGCAATCCCACCCCACGCCGCCTCCGGCAACGGTACACCAGGCCCAGCCTACACCGCATCACGCAGCATACAACAGCGCTCAGTATCCAAACATCACCCCTTTCCCTCAGGCACAGACACCTCAATCCACACAGCATCAGCCTGGTCCACACCACCATGCCGGCCACCTGTCGCAGCCCCCATCTCCAGCGGTAGGGTCGCCGGGACTGCAGTATCAGCCGTCGCCAGCCCAGAACTATGGTGGAAATGGAATACCTCAGTACGGCACTCCAGGAGCGCATCCGCAATATCACCCACCGCACCAGCAACCTCCAGGGCCTCACTCGCCAGGTCCACACCCTGGACAGCAGAGGGCGCCATACCCCCATCCTGGACACCAATCGTACCCTCATTTACAACCCCAAATGCCACACCCACCTCCCCAAGCAGGCTTCATGCTTCCACCCTTTCAGGTTGCCCCACAGGATCCATCGCGTGTCCATCACCAAGCAGCTGTGCCACCGCACCCCCAAGCCTCGACACCTACGAGCAACCGACAGCCGTCACGGACGAGTTTGCAAACGCCCGGCACTGGCAGAGCAGCAGGCGCGCCGCCAATCCATCCTCTTGTCACTCAGGCGAGACAATCACTCACGACACCTTCTGCCGCGCATTCTCCACAAAGTTCTATGGGAACTCCCGTGTCTGCAAAGAGTTTATGGAAGCGATCTAGTTTCAATGGGACACAGTCTACTTCTTCAAGCCCACGTCCAGAGGTGGAGCCACTCGATGATGTGCCGCCCCTAGTCCGCTCGAATCAGAGTCCCGCTAAAACCAAGTCACAGCGCAAGTCCAGGGCAAAGGGCAAAGGAAAAGATCCAGACCAGGATTCCGTACCAGACGCCGAAACCCCGCAAAATTCCAAGCTAATCAACGACCACGAGGAAGAATCTTTGGCGGAACCCGAAACTCGATCTGGACGTTCTCGACGAAAAGCCCCGGCAAGGCGAACAAGACCCGGAAGCATTGCATCTTCAAGAGCTGGTGGTTCGGTGCGCGACCGAAGCAGAAGTCAGTCAATTCTCTCCCATACCGATACGGTAGCGGCAGACAATGAGTCGCAAACTGGCAACAGGATCAAGTCGGAGCGAGGAACCTCTGTCGAGGCTATTGACGAGGAAGCTACTGCGGAAACACCGTCACATATGTCTACCCGACGTCGAGGAGCAGCCGCAATGCCGTCACTTTCAACACGTCGAAAGCGCAATGCCCGTGAAGCTTCTCTGGAGGCCGAGGACACATCATTTGGCACGCCTGGTCCTCCTCGATCTATCATAGCACCACGTAACTTTGCACGCATGACCGCCCCCATGATGTACGACATCAACTCCCACAAGCACGCATCTACATTCAATACTGCAGTTCGCGCCAAGGATGCAGAAGGCTATTACGACATTATCAAGCGCCCGACGGATTTGTCTTCTATTAAGAAAGCCATCGCAGCAGGCTCGAAGCAAGTTGCTGCAGCTGCAGCGGCGTCAGAAAACCCAACTGCTAGTCCCGGTGGTGCAACAGGAGGTCTCATTGAGCTTCCTTTTACAGCAGACAACGTACCTCCAAAGGCCATTGTCAACGCGGCGCAGCTTGAAAAGGAACTCATGCGCATGTTTGTCAATGCCGTCATGTTCAACCCCGGAGAAGAAGGCGTGGTCAACGACGCAAGAGACATGTTCCAGACTGTCCAGGGGCTTGTCAGCACATGGAGAGACGTCGAGAGAGATAGTGGCAAGGCAGGTAACGAAGGCACTCCTGCCGCTGAGGAAGAGGATCCGCCCACGGCCAGCAAGCGGAGGAAGTTATAGTATAATTCCCGAACATCGCAGCTGTCTGCGCGAAAATGAAGTAGGGTTTCAGAGTAATGTCAGGTTCGGGCAAGAGTGTCGAATATTACATGATCAGTTTTAAACCCCATTGTCGTCTTCTTCTTGTTGGTACTGCGTCGTCTACTCCTGGCGCTTCAGAGTTTAGTCGGTGACATCATCTCGTTTTGTCCTTTGTAAAAATTTTGTGCTCATGTGTGGTGCCTGTGAAGCCGTACTATCATTTTAATTTTTGTATCACCATGTCACAGATATAGGAGTATGGATGCCATGAGAAGAATAGAGAAAAGCAACCAACAACAATGCATAAGTGGAGGGGAAAAGAAAGAAGACCCATACTTGCTCCTACCTTTGTTTGCAAAGCGAGCAAACAAATATTACCTCGTCTCCCCCTTCTTTTATCTTCCCTGTCCCGCTGTTCTATATACATACAACAAGCACTGGCGCCAAAATACATCATTTAAACACGAAAAAGATTCGCGTTAACTAATTCTTGTTGGGAAATGGACACTAAAAAAGAAGGGTGAGCAAGAAACAGGACACAGGAAAGGAGCTTGCTTGAGCAAGTAAGTAAGAAACAAAAAACAGAGAGCATAGCAGAAA